TGTGAGAATCGGATAAAGTTAGTTGCCAGTCGATAATATTGTTGATAATGTTGCCTTGCATACGTTCAATCAACTAAGCTCGAATCACTGCTTGTTTTTGAATAAATAGTTGACAATTGATGTTAAGTAAACGAATGCAAAACAAAAAAATCACTACGACTGCTCGTTACTTGTCACGCACCCTACGCTACTCAATCGATTAAGCACTTTGAACAATAAAAACAAATTATTAAACTTTCATCATTGATATGGTCATTCATAAAAGAAAAACAGCTGTAGGTAACAAAGGTAAAATAACTATTGAATATAAAATGTGCGGCAGCTGTGTATGGAAAAGCTGGTCTCACCACTAATTGAAAATGAAAACGAAACTGAAAAAAAAGAAGTTCAGTTACCACGCCTAGGCCACACCTCGATCTTATTCTTTTTTTGAAGATCGTTTTGAATGCTTTCATTTTCGGGAGATGAGCAGACGGAGGAAGGGGGGTAGACAGATGTGATGGGGGAAAGGAAAAAAGAGGGACAGGAGGGAAGGGGGAGATGATGAGTAGGGGAGAGGACCAGAGGGGAAGATGATGAAATAGAGGGAGGGAAAGGATGTGCACTCTTTTAGAGTCTGGAGTGCGGCGAAAAAGAAACAAATACCTCCCACCACGAACACCTCGTACGCTTTTTGCGAAAATTGTTCGCTCTTCAAGAAAAACCCATTGAAAATCACTGAAAAACGTCTTGTTATTAAGCATCTCCTGTGCACTGATTTATAACAATAAAATCTATAAGAATATTGAGACACAAAGTGGCTGAAATTTAAGAATAGTTTAAGAATAATGCAAAGTTTAAGCTTCACCTGGCCTTGGAGTCATTAGAACTATAATGCAACACGGTTGCACTATCTGTAAAGAATAATTTAAGAATAACCTTATGATCAAAATAAAAAAAATTCAGGAATATCGAGGCTCAGCAAAAAATTAGGTGTTCTTATAAAGAAGTGTGTATGATGTTTGGAAAGAGTGGTAAAAATTTCAGCAGCAAGCTGTAATTTCGACTAGATACAACAGACGTTGCGTTATATACAAGCAATGATTTTATGAGAATGATAAATTACCACCTTCCAAAATTCGACGGACAAATTTTCAGAAAGAAGAACCTTGGGTGAAATATGACGATTCTAGTCAAAGTTTAAGAGCCTAAATGGCGCTTTTTCCTAATTGCAAATTTGAACGGGTCCATTATGTAAACCCTGAGATATCCTAAGAGTTGACCATGCAAAGTCTTGTTGCAAGTAGTGTAGGGCTGATCAAAATTAAAATGTTGAACAAGTTAAATGATAAAGGCTACCTGGCGCAGTCATATGCCATATATCGGTGTCAGTCAACAGGCCTCAAAAAACTACCACGCAAATTCACTGTTGTTTCTTTGATATCAGAAAAATGAAGTGCAAAAAGCCTCTCGAATACCAACTTTAAACGTATCTAGTCCAGCGTCGTAAAGAAATAAACAACTAACAACGTGTAAACACAGCAACAGTACGCATGGTCTGGATGAAAGGAAACCACTTTCACCTACCAAGCAATGTCCTTTTAATGTCTCCTCGTACAAAAATAATCAGACTAGCCTGCAAGCTATGCTTTTCTCTCTTCACAGCTCCACATCCATAGAATGCAACGCGAATGGCAAAGCACACCCCCAGCTACCAAGCAACAGCAACGAAAACTTGCAATGCAACACCCTCTTCAAAGTTTTGATAAAACACTGGCTTACTTCTACAAAGACATGCTTAACTAAGGACTTTCCTGGAGGCTAACGGATTTAAGAAATTATTCCTTTTCAATTTGATTAGGATAATATTAAGTGAAAGATGGACAGTGTGTTTACCCGTTTCTAAGCAGTGGACTTATTCTAAAGCTGTTTCTCTTCTAGGGAGAAATCACAATGACAACCCACGGCTAACCCTGAACCACAACAAATCTATGCAAGGCTACCGAGCGTTGTCGAAATCTGTTATCGCAGAGGCCCTGAGCTATTGAAACTATGGTGCTAAACTACTTTGCAAGAACCTTGACACTGAGCTGTTTACGTTAAAACTTTGGACGATAAGGTAAATCTTTGGTTAACCATCCTTGGCTGGTGAGATAGCGACGTGATTAGGTAAAACTATCATGGGTTTATTTTATATAAAGTGAGTCTGGTACCCAGGGTAAGCTAAAACCTGTCTCTCTGGAAATACCAATCTACATGCAGATAGCCTTAGGGACAAAATTAAACTATCAAAACAATACTGGTTCTTCTTCAGTTTCCTTGGCGGCCCTTAAAGTCTCCAGCACAGAAAAGTAACTTCATTTTCCATAATCAAAGCAGCTGGCTGATTCCGAGAAACAACTGAAAAGTTCCCTGTAGCAAACTGTCAGAGATAAGACAGTTAGGAACAAAGACAACTCTAGTTTTTAAGTGTGACGTCATTAAAAGTATAAAATCGGACAAGATATGATATTCAAAATAATAATAGTGTTATTCTTTCCCTTACACAACAAGTACATCAAGTTATGTTTTATGATAAAGTACATCAAGTTATTGAGTAAGTGAATAACCACATCTTATCTGGTGGGGTTTTTAAAAAAATATTTTCTATGCCATATCTCACAATTTAGTTGGATGGTGATATATTGTTTTTCATGTGACGTCTTGTTTGTCGCGAATAAATCTCCGTGCGAAAAATAACCTCGTCTTAATTATAGTTGATTATTTCGAAACGAGGGTAACCTTAAGATTGTTCTTCTATCTGAAGGGGTTTGACGCACGCTATTTTGGTAGTGAGTAGTGAGTAGTGGTGTGATATAAAATGTGATACAAAACTGTGATTGGAAAAGGTCTATTGTGGTTCTTTTATTCCAAAACAACAGTATCATATTTTCAATAACTGATTAAAGCTCTCCATTAGATATACCATTGTCTTTTAGTTTTCTCCTTGTTTTACATGCGCATCAACTGATCTTATAGTAGAGGAAGGGCAATCCTAAGGGTAAGTTCATTTTTAATTTGGGGGCCTGGGAAGAGGACTATTAGCCAAGGGGGACTTAACGATATTGCTCTCTGAGCCAATCGTTCAGGTAAAGATCTTGAATGTTGATCGAGGATTTCAAGATTCGGATTAACCAAATGGTAAAATCTCGGATTCTTTCTAATCGTTTGTTTTTTGCAAAATAAGTAAAGTTTTGAGGTTAAGCAGATATCATACATTTTTGAAAAAGTTAATCATCAACAAAGAAATTATGATTGCGTTGTTCAGGGAACAGAACAGAGCAGAAAGATGAAATACATTGAAAAATTCTTTAAAGGATAATCTTGCAGGAATACGCATTTATAACAGATTGGCAATTGAGAAAAACAGAGAGGCTTTTGAAAGTAGAAACGAAATGCGGGTATTTATAAAAGGTAGATCGCTCGTTCTTGTTTTTCTCTTCGAGGCACTTGTCAAGCAAACAATTAGTTGCGTTTAAAAAACTAACTTCGGATGTTCGGAAGCAGATACAACGAATTTTGAGAGAATTTTCTAGGCTGTTCTATGTTGCCTGGATCTCAGTAAAGCCTTTAGAAGCTGTCGACGAATGCGTGGAAATATTCCACTTGTGAGATAAACCGTGCGTAAATATACTTCTTGTGGCAACTTTTTAGTGGCAACCAAATTGGAAATAGCTAGATGGACCAACATTCTCTATTCGTATATAGTTGATTACAAGGACCGAGAAACAGGGGATAGCGGGGGCCTTGGCCCCCCAAAAAAACTTAAGTAGCACAAGTAAAATACTTTTATTTTGTAAAATATGGCTGTTGTTATACTGATTCATCAGGGCTGGCCCCCAAACAAAAAGTTGCATCTCGGTCTTTGGTTGATTAATCGTGAAACGAAAACTTTCGGTCTTCAAACCTCTATAAATTAAATCGCAAATAGTATTGAGTTCAAATAGTCAAATGATCATTATATAGTCAAATGATCATCACAATTAATAACGAACTTTAAACGATAAGAGGATGTTTCTGGTACTTCTGGCTTATTTTCGTGTCAAATACAAGATATCTGCCCTTTGTTAATAAAGTGCAAATCCAAAAATAAACGAGCGAGATTTAGCACATTAATCATAACAACAATATTTTTACAAACGAGGTCAGTATTTTTGAAACGAAAATCAGCTGACATCGAGTAACCACTGAGAAATTGTTACCAAATGCTTTACAAGTAAAATTTCAGAAAAAGCGAATACATTTATTGGCGTCAAAAGTATTAAACCGCTTAACAATCAATTTACAATTAATTCTGTTCTAAAAATCACAGGTTTGAAAACCAGCAAATCGATTGTTTTGATGAGCGGCAACTTCTGCCTGCTCAGCTCAGACAATGCTGTCGGGTTACTGCTATAAAGTTTAGCATAGCATAAAATAAATTAAAATTTTCTGAGAAGGTAAAATAGAACTAGGAATTTGTGTACAACGACCAAATCCAATTACGATTGATACCAAACAGTTAAACGGGTGTTGTTTGAAATGCTGAATGGATCGCCTGGTGCACGTCAGATCGCTTAAAAATCAGTGAACGAACGTTTGGACCTACAAGTAATACTAACCTTACAACTTCTTTCGAATGTATTTATTTAGCCAACAAAAACGAACACATTGATGATTTGACAAAATGGTCTTCCTTTATTGAAATAAGAAAAGTCGCACCGAAGAAAACGTACCTATCAAGTTTGTTATGCCTTGATCTTCGCCCACATTCTGATACGCTGGTGCATTTCTCTGCGAATCGAATCAGGAGTTGTTGGGAAGAAAGACGCGCAGACCGTGATCACGTTCAAGTCTGATTCTTCATACATGCAAACAAATTGAGTTTTCCAAAGGTTTTTTATCAAACGAGCCACCTGTTAATAACTTTGTGGTTGCGGTAAATGAGATTGTTGTTCCAGGGGGGACGTCTTTCATTTGCAGGTTGCGCGGCCTGTAAAATACCTTTGAATCAATCCTTTGGAGCTGTTAGACCGACTGGGGTCGGGGGTATCAGGCTGAACATCTCAAGTTTGAATATTATTCAGTGGCGATTCAGAATGTTTCTTTTATGTGTAGTTTTATATGAAACCATATTTAGACTTATAACCGTAGTGCCTTAATCATTAAACTCTCTAGTAACGACAAGCATCTTTTTATAATTACAAGAAGCCGAAATTTTGATTTCATTTTTACCGATAGCACTCACCCCCAACACCTAATCCGGCTTGTCCTTTAATTTTAACATCTCCATGCACGGCAAAAGGGGGTGTCACAGCCCCCGCCCCCTCGCCTCACCTTAGCGTGACGAGCTTGGTAATCTGAGAGACTCCGTTGGTCTTCAAAGGTCTTAGTAAATCTTTCACTCGAAATATAACGAATAGTTAACGTGATTCTTCTGCAACTACAGTATTACAAAATCAGCAGCTGCTAACTATCGGTGTTGTTCATATTGTTGAAGAGGCTGGTGCCGAAACATATCTATTACATTTTATAAAAAATTCGGGCGGTGACTTCAGTAAACTGAGAAATACAGCCGCTGGTCTGTCTTTGCCGTTAAAAAAGTTGCAACAACACCTAAAGTACATTCTGAAAGCAAACTGTGGCTAGGAACCTCTGTCGAAAAGAGAAATTTCATTTAATAAAAGTAAGAAACAAGTGAAGGGATAACTTATTCTAAACTGCATATATTTCGGTTCAATCTACAGTCTGTTTTGAAAACGCTCGGGATCTTTTCCGACAAATATTGAGTAATAACATTGGAATTTAGCGGTTAAAATCTGATAGGGATGAAATTTTCATCATAACAAACAAATAATTTTTAAGATGATTTTGAGAAGATAAAATGTTGACGAGTCTCGTGCATTTGGACATGACTAGCGGCTGTCGGCGAAAGGTTCACTTGGAAAAATTGCTGCATTTAAATCTGATATATATGTCCAGTTGTAAAAATGCCAATACTTTCCAATAATTAGAGCATTTGTACATAGATGATATGTTCGGTGTTACATTGCAGCAAGGACATAAAAGTTTTGAGAGATGATACTTAAAGCGACTTTGAAAACGACGCGACTAACTGACATTGTGAGTTAGCTTCCTCATGTATGCTTCACAGTTTGCTATCATATGGCACCAAAGATGCAAAACAGACAAATAACTCTGTCAAGTAACGGTATTCGCAGCAGTTGGTAAGCTAACTAAATTTTCTTTGATATTCTAAGCAGTCATAATCTATGAAAGACAGATATCTATTCAAAAAGGGTAATTTTTCATAATGCTTTTTCTTGCCTCGGCAGGCCTAGAAGAGCCATTTTATTTTTTGAAAATTCTTTGAAATACAGCCATAAAAGTACAAAGCGATGAGTCTTGTGGAGCACCCGTACAATATTTTTTAACATTTTTGCACGTTCTATCAAGCTTTAAAATGTCGCAAAATGAATGGCAATATCCTTTTTATGCGTGCCAAAATCAGTGTCACAATGGGGACTTTTAGTGGGAGTCGGTTGGGGGAAGCCAGCTTTTTAGGGGGCTCGAGCACTAGAGTGTTTACAAGCATGTTTGGCTTTACGTTTTATAAAGTTTTTCTATATCAAGCTCAAATATTTATTTAAATCCACTAAAACATTACTATCTCATTCAACTGAAAAGAAACAGAGCGGTTTAACCCTTACTGGGTACGTGTCACAGCCATAATTAGTTTTTCGCTCGTCAGTTATTCAAGAAATAATCCTAATCTGGTCTTTCTCAACATAAAAGCAGTTTTCATATATCGGCGAAGAATAGCATGTCATATTCCTAATCATTACTCGGAAAGAACAACTTAAACAATAGAAATAAAGCGATGTCATAGTGAAGTGATTGGCTGTTCGCAGCAGTGGCGTGGTGGCAGGGGGGCCAGGGGGCCGTGGCCCCCCCCTGAATAGGGGCGCAAATGGAGTTAAGGGGGCGCCAAAATTGTTTCCTTGTAATATTTGGCTAGAAACATCAAAAGTGATCGTACACGGGTAGAACACTTCGCTATAACTTGCTGTGAACAATCTAAAATAACGCGAGATTCTATAATCGAAGCATGTTGCGCTGCCATGACCCAATCAACATTTGTTTCATATGTTTTCGTTTTAACTATGTACGTGGTTTCATGTTTAGCACGCCAACTAACGAAGATTTTACGTATGCCAAAAATGTTTTCTATTAGTTTGTACTCGGAACGCCAAAAAGCCTGAGTGAACGCCACAGATCTTCGGGCCTAAGTACATGGAATGCACCCTGGCAATCAATACAGCAGCTTCTTGTTATTAACATCGATGTGAACTAAAGGTCACCCTTTCTTTCTTTTTCCAACGCATGAATCCTCCCTTCCCAAATTTTTTAAAAAAAAATAAAAAATCCATGTCTTTCTGAGCATCGTTGAACTGTCTATTCTGAGCGGTGTAGTGATTTGTTAAATTTTATTATGGGAGATACATTTTTAGCCATTCTAGAGGGCTTGATTTCAAAAATTTTCTTCCGCGTCGGACCCAACCATGGTGGGTCCTCCTTTGTCACTAAACTTGATCCTTAGCCCAACCCCAGATTCAATTTTGTGACCGCCACCTCTGTCCGATTCAATAGTGCGATTCAATGCTTGAAACTTTCAAGTTGTTGAAAAAACTACTATTTAATAACTGCTAAAGAATAACAAACTTGAACCATGTTTGTATATCATACATCATATATGCGGTGACACGCTTATAAGCCAATTCAAAATAGCTTGATATTTTACCGAACCACGATCGAGAAGGTCAAATGTTAGGATAACATAACTTTTCCATACATATCCGCATTTTTAGTCAAACTTTATTTATGAAATTTTGCATTCAAGTTGCAAAAATCGACTTGGCCACCCCAGGGAAAACATAGCCACCCCGCCACTGGTTCGCAGTAGCATTACCTTATGTGTCCATACCTTGTTTCATCAATTGGCAATCGATGAAACATTATATATTTTAATGATGTCACAACTCGGGGGACTCTGTTACACCCCTACTCAAGTACCTGATAATAGCAACAATTTCTAGGTGCAGAAAGGACACTTTGGATTTCATAACAAATATGTTTGCTTTCTAGTGCAATAGAAACTTAATTCCATTAGCCGCGTGGATAAAACTGGAGACACTTATTCTTGTTCTAGCAGCGAGAAAAGATAAATTTTGCCACCTGTTCCATCGTCTGCGTCTTAAGGGATAGTACTAAGAGCTTTTCACATTACAGAAATAAATAAACAAAACACAACAATACTGCGGACAACCAATTTTATAGATGCAGAAAACAGACATGCAATAAGACGCTCGTATTGCAATAAAAGCATTCAAAACTTAGCAAATATTTCCATGGTCGTAGTAGCAAAAGCAGTGCTAATATAACGAAATTAAGGGACCTAAAATAAACTGGACAGTCTTTGTGTGGAGAAATTTTTTTGATTAACAACTAAAATGAAATCATCTCAAGTATCACTGATACATTAAGTCAAGAACCGCACCCTCAAAGAAGGCTCCTCCGTGAGAACACAACAGCTGCAGATTCACAATGGCCTTCCAGATTATGTCAGTAATCTCCCATATTATATAGACTTTTATGAATGAGCCATAAGAAAAAGCAGAGTTTAAGTGGAGGCAAGACAATTCTTCTAAATCTAAGAAGTGCAAATATACGGTTCAAAGATAGCAGTTGGTCTTACTTGGATTGATATTGATCAACAATACAGATCAGTGCGTGTAGTATTCCAGGATCAAAATAAGAAAAGTTCCTTCTCATATTTGAAGCCGGATTCAGATTTCGTTTGCATTTGAGTACTTGGGTGCCATAAGAGTATTAGCTATTCATTGTCTACATAACGATTATGAACAGCCAATCAATTAAAAACTTACAACCTAGACGGAAGGTGTGAACCTATTAAAATGGGTAAATTTATGTTTAGGCCCATTAGTATAGTGAAATAATCGAAATCACTGACTGAAGATTGATAAAGTAAGAAACAAATAAAAAATGTGATAAACAATTTTTGGCGGTATAAAATTTATTGATGGGTTCAAAAGAGTACTCATACAATTGTACAAAGTTTCTCATCTTGCATTCGTCAAAATATAAAACGCCAGAATAACGATCGAAGATGTTAATATCTAACTCACAAACACAAGAATTGGGAGCCTTGGTCAAAATAATTGTCCTCTTCCCTTCAACCCGAATACTTAATACGAAAAGAATACGGTCTACAAAGAACGCTAGCAATCAAGTATTATTTTTAAAACATCACTTTAAAGGTTCACTTCAGTACTGAAGATTATCACTGGAATAATTTTCCCTTGATTGCTTCTAAAATCATGTTTTCTTTCTGAGGGAAGGGGACACAATTTTAGACGGCCCGAGCACCCCTTCCCCATGCTCTCTATAATTTTCGCCACTGGAAAATAATACATTGAAAGCTTCAGCCTTTGTGAGTCAATAATTCATCTTCAACCATAAACATACTTAGTTGAGACGTAGATTCTTTTAGTTGTAGCGTAGTCAAATAGACTGAGCGATCAGTGCAGGTAAAAAGAAAGACTACGATGATCCTCAAAACTTCCAAGATTCTAAATCTTCCAGATGTCAGGCCTCGATTTTTTGGGATGAGTTCACTTAGAAAGAAAAAATGCTGTGACCAGGACTGGAGGAATGAGTCAAGCTGTATCGGTAATCTGTGAACGAATGACCTGGACTCAGGCGATTTGGGGTTTATTCTAGAAACAACCATACTTAATCCATACAAACAGGAGAAAAATCACGGCAAAAGCAATATCAAGCCAGCTTCCTTTCCCACATTAATAATTCATTACATTTCACTGTATTTAACTGTACTTGTTGGGCTTTTCCAAATCTGTCGTACCTTTTCAGTTAGTTGGTTGTCCGGTTTTACAAATGTTAGATCTTTTTGCGCCTGTTGGAAGTTTTCACAATCGTTGGACCCTTTTCACTCGTTGAAAATACCATTTAATGACCCTTTTTAGAACTTTAAACACTAGTTGATATTTTAAAATTTGCTTGATCCATTTATGGTTACTTTGTCTCAGCTCTTAACTGAACTTCCCTGGATAGTTCCTGGTGAGCATCCTAAACGTAACCAGCAACCAGCAACTGTCAGAATTGGAAAAGCAACTGTCAAATCATATAGATTTGTAATCTAGAACTGTCATCTACATTCCCCGACAAATTGGTGAGACAAAATGCAATTTTTGCAATTTCTACTCTATGTCACCCCTATAGATTCGAATCCCCCCTTTCACCCCGAATCAATGTTGGATTTGTAGTTCTATCATTTCTCCTTCAAAATCATGCATTCAACATTGAATTGGGGGTGGAGGGGGAAGTTATTTTTTAAATGAAAGAGAAAAGATAAACTTTCCTTGAAAAGTCTCAACCATTTTTGTCCGGGATTTGTCATCCAGTTATGCAGCGCAGAGCTAAAAGCACGGAGAGGATGCGATAAACGAGAATAACCGACTGAACGTGATTTACTAAAACAATACTGTGATTTTGAACAACATATTCTTAGCAACCAAATTCTTTATGCATTTGGACTTTGGAATTTTCTTCTTGGGAAAATGGACAGATTCCCCATCAGATCTCCGTTGCACACTCAGGGATATTCGTTATCGAAAAAGGATTTTTCGTGGGATCTCAGAATTGGTGGAGTATTAATCATCATCAAAAATTGGTATCTATTCTGTTCACTAACAAACTAAAATATAGTTGACTTAGTTTGATAAACATAATTCAAAGATAGAAGTTACTGTTTTGTAGTTCTTTACAAGATTACTTGCAAAAAACATGAAGTGCAAACCAAAAAAATGTATATGATCATTTAAAAATTCCGTTTATAAAAGCAGTTTAAAACATTTTCTAATCCAATTCTCCAAGGGCAAACTATCCAAGAAATGCACAACGAAAAAACAAATAACCAGATTGATAATAATTATTGATCTAGCTAAATCCTAGAAATTGTATTATGAACAAATATCATCCCAAACCTCCATTTCGTATCGGTGAATTTTTTGTTTTCCACTTAATCATTGAATTCGCCAATGTAAACACGTTATCTTACGGTGATAAGAACGCTTTTTGTTTCAAAGAGTCCCAAGTAGTATCTCATTTTACTCACCTGTCGACAGACTAAGAAAACATGGATTGATAAAGGTGCAAGTTATGACAAATATAAAAGAAATCTTTTACATAAACAGTGCTATTCAGACACACCCTTCAACAAAGAGTTGATAGCGTCGACCTCAAGTGAGAATAAGCACTATTCGGTGATAAGCACTATTGCCAATGAGAAAAAATACTTGTCAATCGAAAGGCCCTTTCAAAAACTGTTTACTTTCTGAACATAATGAGAAAAGCATGTTCATTGACATAGAGATGCCTTGTAAATCGGATTTGCATAGATAACAATTAAAAATACACATGTATCTTATTTAATGTATTTTAATGCGTTAAGAATAAAAGACTAACATTGTATGCAAACATTCATAATTGAAAAGAAAATCCTTATGATCAGCTGTCGAGGGTTTTTATTGTGGATTTAAAATGAGACAATTTCGACATTCGAGGCCAAGGTAATACGTTGAGATGCCGCGCATTTTAGAGGCATTAAAAACGATTCGGAACGTCTAGCTACTATTTTAAATAAATATAACAGATCTATTTCATGATTGACTCTTAGTACAAACACAACCTTCCAGACATAAAAAGGCTATTTTCAATAAACATCACCAAGCGACTGTTTTTGGGATGATCACACTAAATGCAAGTTTATCGCAAAAGGAGTATATCCAGAACTAGATGAATGTAACAAAGCAATTTTGCTGCCTGATAAATTCGAAAGCGTCTTCATTTTTTATTATGTTAAAAAAAATTAGAAAGACATCTCTAAGAATGTCTGTACTTTACCAAATCATTATATCGTGAGCAAAATATCTGTCTTGTATATTCTTGGCAAAATGTCAGTCTTGTGTGTGAGACCAATAGTCACTGCTGTCGCAATGCAAAAAATAATACGATTCAGAGGCTATCAATTTTTACATCTTCTTCCCTTGAAAAAAAGCTTCCTACTGTCAACAAAAGACAACGCTGGGCAAGATGAGGCAATTTGAAGAAAATCTGAAAATCAACTAAACTTATTGAGATAAAATTACAAAGTCTCCGCAGGAATTCGTGTTTTCAAGTGACGGCAGGTGCAAGAGCTCCACGAGCCAATAACCTCTTGATCTGAATACCCAATGTCTTAACGGGATTTTAGCTTGCCAAAAGCTAGAACCTTAAATCATCTAGGATAGAAGTAGCAAATGCCCCGATGTTTTTCATCGAGAGCAAAAGTTTGCTTGTATGTAGCTACAGAAATAGAGGTTTCAAAATATGAAATATTTGGAGATTAACTTCAATTGCAGTGAAAAGGATTTGACAAAAAGCGTGAAAAAACTAGAGGGGGATTTTTAGATTATCTACTGCATGAATGTAGCAATGAAGATGCAAACAGATGAAGACATAAAAGAGTATTTAACCTGAGCAGAAGTATGACAGGTTAATAGTGAGTCAGAAAAGGCATTTGAATTACACGGCATTAGCAAGATTGCAGAATCAGTAACTCCGATGCCGACGTCTTCGGTTAAAAAATTCTTTTCCAGAATACGAGCAATATTTATTCATGGGTCAAATTCTGCTTTTGACTTTCTCACCATATTTGCAAGCCAACCAATAAGAACAAATTACGTACTTACTGTAACTTAAATGACTAAGCAAAAGTTACCAAAATTGAAATGAAACGCTTATAATAGCTTCGGATGAAAATATATCGTTTTTGCCAATGCACGAATACTCGTATTTAAGTATTACAGAATAAACCCGTAACAATCTGACCTTAAATAAAGGAGGCTTGTGGGAGTCACCTTTTGGCTGAATTGCGTTTGTAGGTTTATAGGTTTATTGAAAATAATTTAAAACGAAGTTGCTCTATTTTTCTGTGCTTTAAACTGTAATGCTCTATCTTGTTGAACAGTGCCACAGCCAAAACTTAATGAAATCGGCGTTAAAAATCAAGATATGGACCGTTCAATCGTTCAATCGAGGTAACAAAAAGCGTTTAAGGGTATTTACACACTCTACTGAGCTTTTTTACTGCAAGTTTTTGCAACTGAGATAACGTTATCAACCGCACCCAAACGATAGAACTTTCGTAAAGGCCTTATCTTAAAACATAATGTTTCAAGCAAGCAGGTTACATGGTAGATTTGTAAGCTGTTTGCATTGTCCAGAAAATGGTAACAGTCTGGGCCTATCCAAAACAACTGTGCTGTTGAGCTTTCAAACATGGCATTAGGAGTTCGTCTGCAAACTTAGCTATTTCGAGTCTGGTATTACTTGTGTGAATGTTCTGCTGGACATTTCGCCCATTTAAATAAGCTCATTGCGTAGAGAGATCTTCTTAGCAACACCAACAGCACTGTGACGGAAAACAAGCACATTTGGACGTCATTTTAACATTGAGCTGACGGTAACAAGGCCTAAACTGGCGCGTCAATGTTGTCAACAAGCCGCTATTTTTCGGTGAATATTTCGTTTCAAATCTTCTCCCTAGAGTCACCAAAATCAGTTTTTCTTTCTACAAAGTGGAGCAAAAGACCTACTTTAACAAAGTAACTAACACCACCACCATAATCATCGCTTCCAATAAATCTGACTTTGAACGAAAGCAAACTCACAGTAGTCTCTCCTTGGCTCTCTCATTTCTGTTAATGAATTACTTTTCCTGTAATGAATTACTTTATCCTTGAATGGAATGTTACTTCTGCTCAAAGCAGTATTTTTCCAAAGCCATGAAAATTTAAAAAAATAAATCATGACCCGTAAAGAAAGCGTTCTCTTACCCCTCCACATCCCACTAGCTGCCGTTGTTGCAGAATTTTTCTGACGTTGTTTTGTTTGTGGACTTTGGTTCAAAGTAATTCTTGTAATCTACAAGATTGTTTATGAAATTTTGGAGCAGATATAAATCCTTTATGTAGCGAAAAAATGGGAAGGCTGTGGTCCATCTTCCGCCCCCTCCCCTTCCCCTTGTGACCCAGGTCCTGTAAATACATATAAAAGTGAATCAAACAATTTGGTGCGTAGAACAGGAAATTTTGAAGTTGCAACTTTGAACTTCACGTTTAACAATCACCATGCACCTGTTTGCACTATATATTCAGGATATTGAGCAATCAATACCAAACCAGTAGATAGTGATTTGTAAATGCTTGAATAGATATTAAAATTTCTGTTTAATTAATGGACGGTGATTTCCCGCGTTCAGAAGAATTATTTGATGTGCCACCTGCATGTAAATTGGGACAGTGACAACCACATTGCTGAAAAATCTCAAGATTAATAAAGTATAGATCCAATCTCACGGATAGCTTGAAATTGAGCAAAAATTCCAAAAGGAGAATAGAAAAAAGCGGAATGTAAAAGGGGAATGGTATCCAGCAGAAGCCTTATCAAAGCTTTGCAGAAAGACTTTCAGCAGAAATTTAAGAGCTATTTTGTGGAAAAGAAAGAATTTGCAGCAAAGTTGTCATTCATTCCCAGCGATAAGAAATTGAATATTACAGAAATTAAAGACTAAAAGGTTCAAAGTGGAATTCCCTGAGTCATAGAAACCTTAACCTAAAGACTTCAGCTTTTTAGCAATATGAAATGGTAGTGTTATTTTCTGAATGATTGTGAGTAGCCCAGAGGTGCAGTGTATGTAGAGGTGTGAATTGTTGCTTCCAGGCCCTTCTTTGAAGGAAAATATATATTTTATATAAGGGAACGACAAACCTTTCAACACCGGTTCACTAAAGAACAATGCAAGGGTCAAGCTAGGTTGGCCTTTCTTAGAAAGATATGATACACCCCCGGTTTAATAGGAGAGTAATACTTGTTACGATTTGCAAAAAGTTTCACATGTTCCAATGAAAAATTTTCCTATTGTAACTTGCCGGTGACCAAATTTTTAGGTATTAAAACCTTCAAATAACAACAACAGCTTCTCAAATCAATAAAAATAAAACAAATTGAAAAATTTTCCTATTGTAACTTGCCGGTGACCAAATTTTTAGGTATTAAAACCTTCAAATAACAACAACAGCTTCTTTAAAAAATATTTATCGCGGTGTTCAGCAGATGCTGGAGGATCTGCATTAGGACCATTGTTTTTGGCGTACAGCATTGCCCTTGCTGGGAGGTTGCCTTAGCATTTTGGTGTGAGCGAAACGTCTCGATTTGTAGTCAAACAGGAATTCAAATAAAACAAAGAATTGCATCAAACGTGGAAAGAAACAAGTAGGTCATCAAATCTATCGTATAAAATGATTTTGACAGAAAAACTAAGCATGGTGTGATATTTTGCATCATGACAAGGCAGTCAAGATGAGCATGACAAAGAAGTTGAAAGATGTGATCATGGGTACAGCTTTTTGTGCCTTCTCGTAGAGGCAAAGAAATCTGTTTATAATGATTTCTCAAAGCATGTGTATTGGAAGGATTTCTCTAATTATGCAAACTGCCATAAGACGTTGCAGCGAAACATCATTGCTGGATTTTGAAATTTAAGTTTTATGGCCGAATAAGCGTTCTAATTAGGCCATAGGTACCAACTGGTGTCGGTCTGGCAATCTCAAGACACAAACGCCATAATATTCAGCAATCCAAGACTACAGCTAATTCTTTCTGAATAACAAAAACAAATGGGAACATACTTTTCTAAATTATCTTTTCTTCCTTACTCATCTAAGGCCACTATTGAAACCATATGATCGTTACCGCAAGCAAAATCGATGACAGGCCCAGGGAGATTCACCTGGAAATGAAATAGTGAATTTATAAATCTCATATGTGGCAGACAAGTGCGGTTTCCAAATGATTATTGCATGAGTTATTACAGAATTAATACTAATATCATGTTTGTAAGGTTAAAACCATCAGGAAAACATGCTTTATAGCTACGTCACACACCTCGCAGTCATTCCAACATGACAACAGATAAATAAAAGAATGAGCGATAAATTCAAGATTTGAAGAAATCGAAGCAAAATCCGATATCTTTCTTAGACATGTGAATCAAAAGAATAAGGAAGTGATAAAAATCTAACAAGATGGTAAGGCGTAATAAATAAAGACTTTTAGGGTGTGTAATCATCTTAAACATAGTAAATGATGCTAACTGAAATCAGCTGGAAATAATTAACTGCTTTAGATATGCAGCTGGAATTAGTCTCTGGTCTAAGATAGCGAGAGATAAATAAATCGAGTAGGAAAAGTCGTTGAAACATTACAAGTGATGTTGTGATCATGATCAAAGAATGGATCATGCTGTACAAGATGTGAAACAATTCAAAACTAAAACGTGGCAAAGCGATTCTGAAACCAGTGGCCGCAAATGTTTTAAACATTGCTGACAAGCGTAATCGGTACCCCGTTTGATCAAGTTGTGAAATTATCGCTACTTACTTCTCTAGGAAAATATTGGTCATTTGTATCTCCATGTCCAAGGCGACCATGGTTGCCTCTTCCCCATGTCAGCAGTTTTCTGGTATCTGGATAGAAATAAAGCTACTAAGATAAGTTACAGCTTTGCACGAGAAAAAAACGGCGTGTATCAAATAATTATCTTTAAAGCATTGAATAGAATCCTGAGATCATATCTTCTAAAAAGCAACAAAGCTTTATGGTGAAATCCAATGTTGACAAAAAAGATAAATAGGTTCTGATTAAGTGTTTTACAAACACAAGAGGTCTCGTTGGTTACGGAAATGAAGGCACCCTTGCCACTTGGCTCCTAGTCCAGATTAAATAAAAAGACGTCTCGTAGTGAGGCCCCTTTACAACAAGTGCAAAACACCTTTCAATGGCTACCAACGAGGAATGAATTCTCGTAGCAAAAATTTCGAATTTTGTTGCCACTGGCTGGTTATTTCCAAAGCAAATGTAAATATTATGCATATTTGAAAACCAGGTATGAAAGCTTGATACAGTCAGTTAACAAAATTGCGCGATAATACGTATTGATATTACTGAGGCATCAGTACCGAATGATTTTAATCAAACAAAACCTAATCACAATAGTGGGGTTGCAAAATATTCTCACAGACATCTGGTTACTCGACAGTTTACTTTACAAGCATGCAATTTACTAGCACTACTAGCACGTCTTTAGATCTTGGCTCGACAAAGTGCGCACTACTGCACTCAATTCAGTATAGTCGTTTGAATGCGACTTTATTTCAACTGTTCTCTCAAACCAGTGTAATTTAAGCTTCAACCAATATTTCATTTAAATGTGCAACAATAAAAAATTACTTTCAACTTTGTATAGAGTTAGCTTTAAAAACAGCTTGTGTTTTAACACAGAATCTAATGCTTTATGCAATTGTTTGAAAACTTAAGTAATATGTATACAATGAAAACTTAAAATAGGTTTTAGATATGCAGGGTTGGGCGAGTTTCTTTATCAGATCTAAATTATTAATTCGGTTGAATTGTACAAATAATTGATATAGGACATCAAGTTCTTAAAAGTGGCAAACAAAAGATTAAAAGCCATTTTGGTGTTTAATTCTCCAATGATCCATGGACGCAAGAAGAACTGATACTGCATAGGGATTAGAACGACAAAGACAAAGAAGCAATGCGCAACAAGAAGCCGCTTTTGCAAAACCAGGAACAAATCAATCAGCCCCCCCCCTCTATCGCCCACGGAGCAATGTTGGTTTACTATGAATCGGGTTAGGATTTTAGGAAGCACTTTCTTTTGCGTTTTCCCTAAATCATCAACATTGTTCTAGGAGGAAGGGCGTGGAAGTAGTATTTTTTTCGGAAAAGGAATAAAAGATATAAAATGCAACGCAAATTGCTGGGTGTTCCAAGTACTTTTCGCAGGCATCGAAGCTGTTTCGCAAATATGAAATTGTTTCTACAAAACAAGGAACAGGTTTCGTTAAATACGGTATTGCTTTCTTTTAAACAAAGAACCGGTTTGGCAAAATATGGAATCATTTCTACAAATCAAGAAATCAGTTCCTTAAAAGTGGAATCGCTTCTAAACAACATAAATTTTAATCAACTAACAGTGAGGTCTAGATGACCTTTTCATTGTTGACGTGAAGGTATAGTTTGAAGAAACCGAAATAAGGTTAAGTTAATGGAAAATAATTTTAGGAGAATCGATAAAATCGACTTAGTTTGCAACAGTTGAAACGGAGCAAACGAAAGCATAAAAACCTTGCACGGACCAACTAGTTTTTGGCATAGGTTTTAACCTTCTTTTGCCAAGTTTGGAACTCTAGATAACTTCTTTTATCATCATTAGCATTTTAATGGTTGAAACAGCATATGACCTATGACCATTTTAGTGGTTGCAACAGCCAATGACGACACCTTATGATTAGAAAGCAAAGTTCAAAGTAACATATTTGACCTACCAGTAAGAGCAGCGATGTAATCTGCACTTCCAGATATTTTGACAATTTTTCCGAATGATTTGTCCAATTCCAATTTGCTGAAATCGTCAACATCAACATATTCAGGTCCAAGGCCAAGTGCACCATAACCCTTGACGTAAACATCACCATCTGCAAAAAAACAGGTCAAGTCAAAGAAAAACAGCAAGAGCTCGCATCAAAGCAAATATTACTGTCACCAGACCAGCATCTCAGCAGTCGTAGTAATGACAATTTCAGCTATTTCTTTTCGAAACTTCATTCTTGGTAGATTGATGTCAGTAAGGCATTAAACATATTTCCTTTGAAAGGTCGTGTTTTCAATGATTGGTTTTTTCACTCCATTTTCCTGACTGAACAGAAAGGTAACGTCCGATACGGTGATTAAAACCATCAGTTATGCTTACAAGGCAAAGAGATAGATAAAGCCGTTTTCCATTCCAAGAGAGAAAGAAGCTTTGAGTTAATAGGTTTGACTTGAATCTAGAAAGACTGAAAGCCACAACCCTTGTGCAAAGAAAACCACAACAAACATCACATGCTGGATGCAACTGGATAAAGTCATTAATTATCCAGCATTCCTGGAATTTGATGTGCTTAGAATACTTTTTGAGTGTTGGCATTTTCGCTGAGCGATACCGGAAGAAAATCTATACCAATGGAATGCGCATTTGTTTTTTCCTGGATTGCTGCATATACCGATATAATTTGAGTTAAACTTGATCTCGATCAAAATCTTATCCAACTCGCTAAATCTTAGCAAGGCCTGGACATGCCAGCTAAGCATGCGACCAATATATCGCACAATGTTCAATTTTCCTGATTAATATTTTAAAATCATCGATCTGTTTCATCAAAACTAGATCTATTTGTTTAAATTATAAAAAGTCGGCAAATAGCTGCTTAGGTTGCAGAGAATTATCCGATTCCATGTTATCAAACGCGACTGTGGAAGATTTAAAGAGAAAAATTGCCGATTGCTGGTTTAGCAGTTAAAGCATCTTAAATCGGTTTATCTGAAGGAATTATAACAATCATCGATAATTCGACCAATCGAAAGTTTCCTGTTTGGTCTACACAATAAAAAACCAGCGATGAAGTAACACCTGGCTCTCACGCAACAGATAATCAAACATTGTAGAAATAGCTGCCAAATACAGTTAGTTTCTAAAACAGATTTGAAAGCAGGTATATTTGTTTGACACTTTAAGCAAGAACAAGATGAATCAAAAAGACATTTTTTCAAATTCTTCGAAAAGGTCTGCTTCGAGAATCTTACTTTCAATGTTGCTCGTCAATTTGTTGAAGACTCGGTAATTTCAAGAAACATGACGATGCCAAGAAGAACATTACCAACTCATTGGCAGAGAATCGATAACACAAGGCAGGCAAGGTTAAGCTTTAGGAAGCGACTACATGATCCATTAGCAGATGAAGCAAAGGGGGATGATAATACACAAGACAGGCAAGAACAGTATGTCATAAAACTCAAGGAACAGGGCTAGAATTAAGTATTAACAAATGTGGGAAGAGTAGTCTTATGAAATACACACGTAGCTACTTATCAAGCAGACTGTCAAAACAGAAAATATGACCATTTCATTTGAATACGATAAAGAGATAACTAATCCCGTTTCTTCCACAACTACATTTCTAAATAAGCGCCTCTGCCACTGAAGATTTTGAAATAGCACGGAAACATATATTTCATTTAGAATCTTGACGCATTTTTGCCGCAGTGGGTATTCCTTCACAGCTAGAGAAAACGTGTCTCTAATGCAATCAACATGTTGTAAAAGTGGTTAAAATTCAGAACAGGAAACACTGAATAAGTAATTATATTCTTATCTGATCCAAAATAATAGGAAACTTCAGTTTGCTTGCCATTGATTCTTCTGTAATGAATGAGAGCCAGAAGAAAAAATTTTCTTTAAGCTCTTCACATAAAGAGCCACCCTATAGTGTCAGATATCCTATCGCAGGCTCTTGATGAATTTCACTGGATCGAAACTTAAATTATTTAATGGCATCCGTACAATAGAGTTGTCGTCAATTGTCACCACAGACGATGCTTTGCCTAAGAACTGATGCAGTCTTGCCTCCTTCTTTTCTCTCCATGCTGAGAATCTATTTGAATCTTGAGAAACAAATCTTGGTAACTCTCTCCACGTCATCTCCTAGCCCACATACTCACAAGCGCTAATCGCGAAATGTTAAGCAACTAACACAGTATAATTTTCAAAAAGAGAGGAACACTGCCACAAGACGTCCACCGGACTGTAAGAATCTTGCTATGAAGTGAAATGAATTGAATCTGTGAGAATAAACGACTCGAATCGATGAAGTACAAAAAATGCTTTGGCGAATAATCGCTTAAAATGTACAAATATAATATACAAATAAGATTGAATAAACGGAGCTTCTTCAGAGTACATGTGATAAAAGCCCGGCATACCAAGGGAAAGTTGATTGTCTTCAGAAGACGACCTGGAAGGGCTTGTTCTGTACGTATCATAAAAGCCAAGATGGGCTTGCCACAATGCAGTAAAGATACAATGCATCAATGCAAATTACCTGATAGAATTGCTGAGAACGAGCCACCCGAAAAGACTTGACAAATATTTGGCAATATGCTGGAATTTAGCACCTGTGTTGGGACAGCAATCTAAAACAGAGAACAGATAGCAAATAGATTTCAAATGAATTGTTAACATTGAACTTACCAATTGCCGATTTCGAAATTTACAGAACGATGAAAGAGGCATTTTGAGACCAGAAACCCTAAGTTTATAAATTCAAATTAAGAGAACTATCATCCAGACCATACCATGTTAAGGACAGAGTTGTTTTTAGTACACGAATCATGTCATCGTTACTAATTTGTAAATAGGGTTGGAATTTTAGGTTTAAAATTACTATGAAATGGTTATGTTACTAACATTCATTCATTCATTCATTCATTCATACATTCATTCATTCATTCATTCATTCATTCATTCATTCATTCATTCATACATACATACATACATACATACATACATACATACATACATTCAATCATTCATTCATTCATTCATTCATTTATTCATTCATTCGTTCATTCATTCATTCATTCATTCATTCATTCATTCATTCATTCATTCATTCATTCATTCATTCATTCATTCATTCATTCATTCGTATCTGGACCATAAATGACTGTGATAAGAAGGCAATTTCCACCGAATGCGGGCTCAAGACGTACACGGATACTGTCAAACCCACAAATCTTGGCCTCCAGATTTTAACTATCAAACGTGTGTTCAAATAGAAATTGCAGCCTACAGTTCCTATGTAAAAATTGTCTTCAGAGCAAACGCCAGGCAGCGCGTAAAACAGTAGTTCGTCATCAGATTAAAAAATATGCATTCGAGCATCAACAACAACTCGACTTGTAGCGTTGAAAAAGGTCTCTTCTTTAGATGACGAAATCGAAAAGTGATAGAAATCCGGGAAAATGTCGGGCAATTTTTTAAGAAATTTTTCTCGCGCATATAATTTCAGGTGCTCTTCAGACTTATTGATCGGAATCAGACTCTGTTGATAATTATTAACTTTGGGAATTATTATCGGGAAAAAAATCGCAAAACAATAAGCTATGTAAGAGTTTGGTGGAGATATTCCGACTTCTAAAAGGTTCCTGAGATCATTCACAAACAAATTATTGGCAACATACTTTTTTAATGGGCTTTAATACATTTATACAAAAATTAACAGGCTTCATATATACTGCACAGTGAATCTAAAATCACGGCATGGAAATTTCCCACGACACACAAAGAACATGTCCTGCACTCTTTCTGTCAATGACTTGCGCTGAAAGCAGCCAACCTTTCAATTGGCTTTTGACAGTAAACCAGTTGCAAATACAAACGTTTTGATTGGTCAACAGGTAAATACAGGCTGGATGTACCGTGAGGATTCGAAATAGTTCTCAAAACAAACCAAATTGCTATTCAAGCAAATAAAACTTAAGCTTTAGAATAAATACGAGGAAATAATCTAAGATTTTCCCAGAGGAAATCATTGGATAAGGCAATCCCTATTTAAATCTGGGTTATGGAAATTGCAAGAAACTGCTATCATTGTTGATAAAATGCTAGCAAAATAGACAGCTAGTCTTTATATGTCGCTACATATACAATAGTTTAAAACTGTTATTTTATTCAAATATTGTTATTTTCTAGCAAAAAGCATTCGCAGGTGATGCTATGAGATCAAAATACACTTAAGCAGAGAGGTAACAGCGATTTTTTTCGTTAGTCCCACTTAGAGATGAAAAAAAGATCTCACATAACATAAATAATTTGAACGGAAATTTGAATGGATGCGAAGTTTGGCCTAAAAAGGCGGTGTAGCATATGGCATTCTAGTGGCGTAGAAAACATAGCCATTCTGAGCAGCAAGATGCGATTTTTTAGACTCTGAAATGTATCGATGGTAAAAAGGTATAACAACAAACCCAAACGAAAATCCTTTTAATAGAAATCTTTATTCAAGGCCTTCAAACAGCTGTAACGCTTTCAACAAACTTTTATTTGTATATCAAAACACTTTTTATTCTTCTGTTCAAAATATCGGAAGCGATTCTCCGTTTCAAAACTGAATATAAATTGTAGATAATGTCTCCTTTCCATTTTATAGTTCCTAAAATTTGTCAAAGTTTATGTCTTCCACATTCTTACATTGTGTGATATTAATCTTTGGCATTTTTCCTTTGGCAGCGAAGAATCATGAAAAATAGATGCAAATAGTACAAGAGCGGTAGAAATGCTAGAGGAGCTGATGCACCTGTCGTCATCTAAGAAGAGTTCATCTTGTTATGCCCAAGCATCATCATCTCATTGCGCGCGCTAAAATGCCAGCATACTGACGACAAACGACGTTGACGGCGTTTTAACTCAAACGAAAATCAGAGAGATCTTTTCCGAAATTCACTGCAAAGGCAGCGACAATGTTCGCTTCACTGGCTTATGGAGGTGCTCTCTATGAAAATGCAAAATCACCGGAATACAGGCGAACTAAAAGAAGCAGTTAATAATTTTCCGCAGGACTAAGTCGCATTTGTCTACAGTCTACTTTTGATTTTCTTATCAAGGCAATTACAAACTGACAGTTCAATATGGTCTCATCCACATATCACATGGGCATTTAGGAAGCGGAGTGCTCTATAAACCAGCATGTACCTGTAATTTTGTGCTAAACAGAAATGAATAACCACGCAGCTATATGTTTGCCGAGGGAAAAGATGCTAATATACCCGAGCTTTTGCGAAATCCGAAATCCATCCACTCACATTAGACGGATGTTCAGATAGGTCGTTCTTTTCATATGTGGGAACCTGGTCCCCGCCGGTCCGAGATAAAAGCGCTTAGTTAACAAAGCAACAGATTCAAAAATACTTCTAGAATAAGATTCATCGTTACCTGTTGTGATGTACTTGAGTACACTAAACTTTGTATATAATGATAAGGACTTGCCTTTAGAAGCCACGATTCCAAGCTTACTTCACTATTCTAAACCTATTTTATGGCGACGTATTTCATACCAACTACCATTTCACCAGATGCTTGCCTACTTTAGCACTGTCTACGCCTAAATGACGCCAAGACAACTGAGCACAAACCTGTTTGTCACCGATTTTCTTTGAAATTTGTCCTAGCTCGTTGTTTCCCCATCCATAGACGCTCCCATTACCTGAAAGGTAGTAAAATTTCATTAAGAGACCATGACAAACGAAGTAAGATTGAGAAGCGAAAGTTGATGGGGAACGTCATAGAATGCACAAGTTTAATACAACTCTGGAGCGTGGTGCATGGAGAAAGAAACCTTTCTACAAACAATGATTCGATAATAAGACTGTCTAGAACTTATGAATAAACATGCTATACTTTATGTATTCACGGCATGACATTTTCTAATTTACTGTCTTTTGTAAAAGTCTACCCAACTGTTAAAGAGAAGAGCGACAATATTCGACGAGAAGGAGAATTAAAAAACACTGAGTACTTGTACCAAGTTTCATGCTTGTATTATAAGATGCACACTTCAACTGCTAAGCGACTGCACTAAAAGGGCATTGCTATTAAAGGCCGTTTAAGCATGCTTTGGTTTTAAAAAGGTTATAAATATTAAGAAAAATCAGACGATACATTTCTTTAATCGTTTTAGATGATATCAAATTCAGAGTTTTATAATTTTCTATAGCCTGGGTAGAAAATACTTCATTTTTCATTGAAAAATTATCAGAGCTCGAAAAATTGTCCAATCTTTTCCTGCCAAAGTTTTAAAACTTTTCTGGAAACAGTTAAAAAGAGCTTGATCTAGGTGTGGTAACTGAAAAAATTTTGGTTTCGGGGTACAACCGTTTTACATGGTTTGTGGAAACTCACCAGTAAGAGCTAGACAAGCATCAGTTGTTGTTGAAACTTGCGATATCCATTCGTTATTAATATGCCCCGCAACTTGTGTAAAACCGTATTGACACTCATGGTGACCAAGGCCTGAGAAAAAAATAGCATTAATGTAAAACATAAAGAAGATTTCATAGTGTTGGAAAAAATAACATAGCTTATCAAAAATCTGGGTGCTAACACAAAGTCAGCCCCCTTGATAGCCTCCCTCTCAAGAGAATTTTTCACTCCAAAAGTCACGTTTCACTGCAATGAATCATCCAAACTATGCACTATGAACCATCCAGATAGTCTGTTAAGACTTCCAGAAACCCATCCAGAAGTTTATCTGGACTTCATAAAAGGAATTTTTGGCATCAAATGGGAACTCTTTTTCAAAATGGGAACCGAATTGAAAAAACCTTGGAGCAAACGATCAATGCTGATGCAGCATGTCAGAGAAAAGTTGTCGGTCAAAGAGAATGTAGAGGCAGCTCTTGAAAAGCTTTTTGAAAGAATGCCTTGCACAGCCAGAAAGATTTGAAAAGAGAATATCATAGCTTAAGCTATTTACGACCGAAAGTATAAAGTGATGTGTTAAAGTTGGCCAGAAGGCAACAGCAGTAACTCTTGTTCGAGGTTTGTATGGGAGTATTCTGTATCTTTCACTTCAGAAAAAGGTTGATATGGGTGTTGTGTTGGCCTACCCACTAACACCGGTACCATTGTCACAGTGTCATGTAGATGGTACAATGATGAAAACGCCAAAATCTGAATTTTTATACTACCTCGAATCACGCGTTGTGACAATTCCTCCTGTAGAAGTAGACGTTTAATTATCGATGCAATGTTTCACCTCTTTATGTATTCAAATTTACCAATTTATTTCGGAAGAGTGGCTGAATACATTCTCAAAAGATTTCTTGACACCACTGCATCGCCTGTACTCTCTGTGTCTGACAAATGGGTGCAACCTTCAATCAAAGATATCGAGAGAGAAGCAAGAAATGAGAACAGAACACATTTTCAGATCGATGGTTCTTCACAAAAACGTCAAAGTATTTGGAGAGTTTTATTGAAAAATCCAAGTTTCAAGGAGGCACTGATTCAATTTCTGACATCATTATGGGAAAATCAAAGGTTTACTGTGATATTTGCTAAAAAAGTACTCTATGCCAACTGTGATGATAATTGCTATTGATACGCTGTTATTGAAGGAAATGTTGAACAAACACAGATTGAACACCTTCAAAAAAAGAAGATGATGAGAGAATGTTCACTCATATTGGCGCGATACGTTGACCAGCAAATGTTGTTGTGCGCACGGTAGACCCGCTAGGTAATAGCAATCGAAACTACGTCAGAGATGAATGAGTCAGTGCACTTTTTGTTAGAGCTAGGACAGCAGTCAAAACAACACCTTGAGATACGTTAGTGATGATCAGCTTTATGCCAGTCTGGGGCGTTCCTTTTCCATGGCAGTACTTGCATATCCTGCAATCATTGGGTGTGATTACACAGACGCTTTTCACATAAATACATAAATTTCACATCATACAGGAAAGGAAAAATAAGATCTTTAAGGCTTTTAGAAAAAAGAAAAGACGCCCAGGAAACACTATGCAAGTTGAGTTTTCCAAACAGGATAACAGATAGTATTGTCAATCCACTGAAAAATCTTTTTCGTGTCATGTATGGACAATCCAAACTGAATAACGCCAATGAGGCAAGCCTAAAACTTTTCTTGGATAAGTACATCTTGGATAAGACGGGCTGATGCAGACATAACAGAAGTAAAAAATTGTCGCTTTGTCGATCTGTGTGGGTGGAAAAGAGCAGAAAGAACTGTTTTAATTGCTAGACGATGGTTGACTACCATTGAACAAGAGTTGCTAGAAAGACGAGAAATGGATTATGGATGGATTCTGGGTGATAGCACCTTTCATATACAGTGGTATCTAGGCGATGCTGCTCCAAGAAGAATTGAAATTGTGGAGAATAACTAAGAATTTGACCAGAATTTGTGATTCTGAGAATGAAGAAAGCGCGAGTGACGAACAGTGAAAATGAAAGTGACACCGATGAAGAGTAACACTAACTAGAATAATGATGTCTTAAATATGTGTTTATTTTATGTTCGTTTCCCATTTAATCATTCTATTCATGTTGATCGAGATAATTAATTTGGTTTGTGATATCCCTTTGTAACAGACCGCTGTAGCAAATGTGTGTGACCTGAATGAAACCACCATAGTTTCTGGTAAGTTATGACACTTTTGTTGCCTACTATCATGCCAACCCCTGCCAAAATGAATTTTATAATGTACCTTTTGGAGATAATTTTCTTTTTTGGAGAGAGGGGTTATCAAGGGGGCTGACTTCGTGTTACCAACCCAATTTTTGGTACGTTTTGTTACTTTCTCTAACATTGGTGTTTCCCTTACACTCTGGTAAATTTTCAGACCTGAAACTTTTGAGATAAAAAATTTCTCTGGGGTAATATTTGGGAGGCTATGGTACACAGACCCCCGGGTTTGGTTGAGCTGACCAGCATTTTTCTCACCCAAGTACAAATACAAACAATAAAATGGGGTCAAACATTCTGTAAAGAAAAGGGTGAAATCGTCTATGGTGGGCTCAAGGACTATAATCTGGGATATAGTCAATGTCTTAATGATTCTTATATTCGATCACTTGTAAACTCAGAGCAAGCTGCTCTAAACCCCCCCCCCCCCCTCCCTCCATAACTAACCCTATTTAGATCATGGTGGTACTTCGAATTTCGACAATTCCAAAAAATCCTTTCATTTGAGATTCTAAGCAATTAGATGTCAAATCTAAGCTACAGGACAAAGAATGGCTTCTTGTTGGACCTTTTCGGTTTCAGGAAAATTCTCCCCTGTTTTCATCTGGGCCTATTTCAAAAATGGTCTTAATGCAGCAGAACTCATTTTAATCCGGCCATGACAAAGAATGTTTAAGAAATCAACCAATAAACCTTTGGGATGAGAAAAAGGCTGAAATATCAGCCTTCACTGATTAACGTGTATTTGTTGTGGTTCATTCTCGTAGCACTGCGGTGTTTCTTATTTGCTAGATTTTTAAAGGAACAAAAAAAGGGAAAATCACCTGTCTGTCCGTCAGCTCCAAGCCCAGTGGAATATATTTTACCATCAGTAGTTAAGACGAGACTATTATCCAAACCAGAACTAATCTGCGAAAAATTATAAACAACGTTATGACTGCTGATAAAGGAATGAATACCAGTCAGGAAGTACAGTTTGAGAAATGTACCCTAAGACAATCTAATTATCTTTCTGTTTTGATTAAAATTAAAATTTAGAATTTTCGGAATATACTTTATCTCTCAGTAAAATCTAAGTGCATTTTACATATATCACAATTCTTTGCGATTAACGCCCTAGGTGTTAATTATATTTTGAAGAATCTGATACCCCTTTTATTACAGGGGAACATTCAAAAGAGGAAAATTTGTTTGCCGATAATGGAAAATTAAACTTGAGTTGCTACTTGTCAAAAATATACAGATAACGTAGTTGGCTTCACATATAAGAATATCGAGTAAATCATTTAGTTGAATAAATGTACAGGCTATAATCTATTCTAATTGTGACTCCAGTGGTAAAATGGATAACAGTGCTACCTATCCAGAAACATACAAGTTCGAGGCCACTGCTTGAATCTAGCAGCATTAAGAGACAAAAATGATAGAAATCAGGTAAGAGGCGAGGGAGGTCTAGACGAAACAGAAAATCAACACGATTGATATCCATGTCTTTAGAACTTTGTTAGGTTCTAAAGTAATCGCAAAATATTTAATGTTGCAGGGAAATGCAAAGGAGAGGTAGGGCATATAGTGTGTGTACTTTACTATGGGTGTAACCCCCCACACCCCCCATGCGACCGGCCCTGTGCACTTTACTGATTTCAAATGAAAGAAATAGAATGCAATAATCAAATGAAAATTTATCCTTAAGAAGAGATGCATAAAATAGATAAATGAATGCTGCATCTTGACTTAAAAAATGAAAAGGCTTATAATTTGACTTATAAAATATAAAATGATTAGGTATATGGTCCTTCTTGAATATTAAGTATATTTTCCTATATAAAGTATTGCATACGGAATTTACTAGAGGAAAACATTTTTTAGAGGGAGGTGTTTATATCTGTCTTTGTGTGGAAAGGAGAGGCATTCTTTAAAAAGCGATATTAACTTGAGAGTAGACGTTTATTTGAAAAAAGGTACTTATGCTAAAAGCAAGAATTGTTTTTACGTACCTGTATTATGTTACCTGCATCAAAAGGCAAGAGAACTTTTTCTAAAGACTCTGTAAATCTTATATCACGCAATAGACCACATTGCCCTTGAACATTTGATCCAGATGCAAAAACTAAAAAAGAAGTAAAGACATTCCTATGAATGCTAACTAAAATGCCAACTACTAACTATTTTCAAGGTAATTTCTACGGGCCAGACAGCATGGAAGCGGGACAATATCAGAACAATAAAACTGCACTGTTAATCAGCTTTTCATTCAAAAAGCGTTCAGAGCTAGATGAGTCAGCAAAATTTCGCAAGAAAGAGAGACGGATTTTGAGAGACCAAGATTTCTTTGAACAAAAACTTCTTTATACTCTATCATTGCGTGTTTACACGAGAGCCCGGCAAAGATACCCAATACAAACATAAACTGGCTCAGTTGACTTCTATGCAGTTGTTCTCCTGTGAACAAACGAAGATGTGATCCCATCTGGTTAGCTTGGTGGCTCGGAACTGAGCAATAAAGCAATTTAAGTTTACATACCTCCTTTATCTGTTAAAACCAAGCTGTGAGCTCTACCAGCAGAAATCCCTTTGACTGTTCCATCACAATCTTTCCTTATCGCTGAAATTTTTTAGACAAAAGAATTAACAAGTTTGGTAGTTCTACTAATTATAGATACTCAAATTGTACAAAAAACTTCAAACTTCACAAGAAGACATTATGTCTGTTGTTTAGTGTGTGATGTCGTAAGGAGAGCTTTATATGTTTTGGTGCGTACGGCAGGACAGCATTAAGTTGCAGCGCCATGTTCCATGCAAGACATTAGAATGCTTCCTGAATTTTTCTAGATGCCACGAAGTCAGGCAACTCCCTTAAATTACAGATAATGTGGTAAAAGTCTAGGTACTAATCAAGTACAGAGATTTCAATGTTGCATACTGGGAAAAAAGGAGGCTTTGATGTCCATATAGAGTCAAAGACAGATTGGCCTTTGGGCCTAAAATTCAGCTCTAAGGTAGTTTTCAAGAGGTATAAAATTTTGTTACATTATTTGTAATACAGCTGCTATAGATCACTTATCTACACAAATCTTTAGATTGTGGTGGTAAAGAGAGAGTGAAAAATACAGACAGAATCCAAGGCATTCATAGGTGACAGCATTATTAATTTTATTTTCAATCAATAGTCATTTTCATTTTATCGGTAATCTTGCTTTACTTTGTCGAAGGCCCAGCATGATAAATTCAGTTTTACCCAGTTCAAGACTCTAAAGAAGTGGTTAATTACCAGCTACAGTTTTGTCGAAAAAAATTTGCAAACATTATGATTTTTATGTCTTGATCGGCCTGTGGAGAGAAGAGAAAGAGCAAGGGACCCAAAACCGACCCTTGCAGCACACTGCTCGATGTTTTTCTTTTTCTTTACTTTCCCCCTTTCGTAGCTGATGATTTGAGTTCCAACTTACACTAGTGTTTATGATGCCATAATGGGTTCTTAAAATGGATTGTCATTCATTATGAAATGGAGTCACAAGAGGTAGCATAATAGCAACTGTAGACTTAATTGGCTTTTATCAAAGAGTGATCTACTTGAAAAGTAGAAGCCTGTTCAATGTAGGAGATTCTAGCAAAATGAATCGAGTTGCACAATTCCAGAGCACTTGTTTGAAGATGATGGTGCAATAGGTGAGCAAAATGCATTGGAACATGAAAAGTCAATAGACTGGAAAGTTTCATGTTTTAGCATATTTTCAGCACAAGACCTTCACAAATTTCGAACTAATTGAAAAAATTAGTACTTCAGGACTCTTAAGTTTGGATTATTTAGAGACTATCTTGAAAAATAAAGTTAAATAACTCTTTATTTACAGTTCTTGGTAAAATTTCAATAAAACTTTGGTAGGTAGAACAGCATTGTTCTTAGTTGCTGCTCCAAGCTCACATCATAATCTGCAACTTGCACAAATAAGATGCAGGTTTATCAAATTTTGAATACTCTTTTCAATTGATATATAACTTTTTCTAAAAGAGGTTTTGTCAATTTGCCAATGAGAGGCTGATTGAAGTACAAACCTTTATTTGACCTTTCCTGGTTACCAAGCTGACCAACTGAATTTAGACCAAATGCATAAACTGAAAAACTTGATTTGTTAGATAGAAATGTTGTTCCATAGCCACATCTTACCAGGTCTACCTAAAACAAAATAATATTCACCAAAAATATATGTACCAGTTTATAAAACATAAAATAATGTAAACAATTATAAGTTGTGTCTCCAGTCAAAATCAAGTATTTAAATCTTTCTTAATTCGATAGCAAAATTTTTGTAAGATAGATCCTTGTAAATTTTGTGAAGGGAATTGAAACAGATGCCAAAGTATCCAGTAACTGTAGATTGTTGACCAACTGGCAGGTGTTGAATGAAGTGATAACAGTGTGACGGGACATAAAATGTGTACTCTAAGCAAGCAAATAGACTTCAAAACAAAAGATCTTGCATACATCAGAATCTGCAAGAAATTCAGTTTGAAGAATAGATTTCTGAATCCACATACAAAAACAGACCTGTGTTTTTAAAAATTAGAACTTCTAGAGAGCTAAAAGTTCCTCAGGCTAGTTCGTCTACCTTGGGGTGACAAAATAAAAATTAACCAGTTGAACTAATGATCTCATAACCACATTTTTTGCACATAAAACTTGGCTGCAATAATACAAAAAGTACAAATGTTTGCCATCGGTTTTAAGGCTAGGCCCATTTCATGGCCTATTCTTCTGGGCTTCCAACTATAATAGAACTAATACAGCTGAAATAAGTAATTCATACTTCTTCATCCAAATCAAAGCTGGCATGCTTTAAATGGGAATCTAAATTTTTATCTCTGCCAAGTTCTCCAGCATCATTTGAACCCCAGCCAAAAACAGTAGAGGATATTCTTCTGCTACATAGCACTATGTTTCTTCTTGACAAAATCACAAAAGCCTTCCCTGGACGAGAAAAAGAAAAGATTAGACACAATGATGGTTTTGTATTTTGCATTTGTTTCTTTCTAGTATTGAAACACTAAGGAGCTATGTTTATCAAGCAGTTTCTTGATCCTACCACTCAATGTAACACAACTACATCCCTTAACGCTTGAATTTGTACTCTGCAACACTAACCTCTGAGTCGACCCTACACTTTATCATGAAAGCCCATAGAAGCTAAACTTTCCTGTCAAGGTCAATGTGGTATTTGGCCGTGCCATTTTGAGGGATACACTAGTTGTCATCTGACATTGAAATTGAAAAAATTTGGATGCTTTTGATGGTTTGATGGTGTGTAAAATCAGAAAAAAACCAGATAAATGATTTCTTTGTTCAGTAGCATTTGGGCAGCTGTTAATTTTAGGCAAAAAACAATAATAAAAAGATCTGGAACAATGAAAAGCTGATATCCTTGATTTGGGTCCAGTAGTGCAGGAATGGATTCTTTATTCTTTCTGTTTTGTTATGCTGTCAGTTTCAATGAGTAATTATTTGTCCTAGTCAAGGCTATGTTGATTGAGCCAAAGTATTATTCTACCAACTTTAATATCTTTTCTTGCAGCAATTAAACATTTATTTGTTGTTCGGCGGGTAGTCATCTGCAATTGCAACCTCTCATGAACGTAGCAAAGCAATTTCTAAAATTCCTTCTTTAGAAAAATTCACTGTGAAGGGATATTCTAGCATGCATCAGATTGATATTTTTGCCCTAGTTGTGTAATTTTCAGGCTTTGCCTTGCTGTGTCAACCTGTTAGTTTCTTTGGTTCCTTTTTCTGTTGATGATGCATTCATCATTCCCATTGAACTGATACAAAATCCTTACCGAAATCCTTTTCATCAGAGATAACAGATTAAACTCTGTTGAAAAGAGTTCAGGTTCAGGTTCATTATATTTTAAATTCCACAACATACATTTCCACAAAATACTAAATAAAAAGACAGCAATTTAAAATAATGATCATTATAACAATAAGATGTGGAAAACAAATTATCTGTGAGATATGTATGTATGGGGAATTATTTAACTCTCAGTAGCAAAGCCAATCAAGGAGAGAGGCCCCCTACACACAAATATATTTCAGCACTTCACAGTTATCAAAATAAATATCTGTTTCTGTAACTGGGAAGTGAAAAACAGTGTTTCCAGAAAAACAGTGTTTCAAGGATAAGTTAGCAGATATGACTTCAATTTATAATGAAAGCAAACCAATGTTACAGACTTATTGACTTATTCCAGTATTTAACTTCAGAAAAACAAACAGATCTTAAGCCATATTGAAAAGTGTTTTTCTTTATTAAGAAGATGTCGTTCTTAGAAGCCTTCCAAGTATCATGTTGATGGATAGACTTGATTGATTCAAAGTACGAGTGAAAGCAGACAGGCCAAGTCTTATTGATACATTCATAGATAAGGATAGAAGTTTTAATTGAAAAAATGCTTGTAATTTTAAGATTTGTAAGTCCTAGAGAAAACGGGAGAGGAAGGAGAACAAAAACTTTGAAAAGCATTAGCTCATATCACTCTGACCACAGAGTTGATATGATATAGCCTAATCTAAGGGGAATCAGGCGGCGGGCATCTGTCATTATAAAAAGAGAATGACACTAGCCTATTGTTTGAAACAATTGAAGCTGGAGGGATAACGCAACTGCCCCACAGTTAGTAAGTTAAAAGGTCCTGTGATATGTTGCTGCTTCGAGTGTTTGATGAAAGAAGATACACAGGTTGTTGGTGTGAGCTTACATGGAAACAATTATCTTTCTAGAAGAGTAGTTAGTTGAAATTGGCAAGCCAAATCCAGACTTTTTGAAAGATGAAAGTAAGGCACTTTCACATCCGAAATTATTTTAAAAAATGGATAAATAAACGCTTGAAAACAATTGACGATCAACAGTCCCTTGCAAAGACCGTACGACGATACGGTATATGACTAGGAGAAAGCTCCAAAAAACACCATTCAAACCTATCGCAGATAGCAATAGTGCAAATAGAGAAGAAATATTCTTACTACTTTCTCGGAGAACCATATAACAAAGACTCATTCCTCGGTGAAATTTAGATACTACTAACCAGGACCTCAATCTCAGGTGTTCATCTCAGGTCTCAGTCTCAGGTTTCACTCTACTGCACATGGCCAGGAATAATAACGGGACATCTTTAGCTGGCCTCATTTTGAGTATCCAAAAGGAGTCAAATGAAACATGAATAACAGTGCAATGGAGAAAACAGTACCTAACAACTAATAGATATTGGAATTACTGTTATTTTTTTAAGAGAAATTTTGGAACGCAACAAAATCTGTATGTCCAAAGCATGGATCAGTAGCAGGCTCTGCATTCATAGCACTTCTCAAGAGGTGGAAAATATTTGTACCAGGAAGAAAATTTTGTGCTAACAATGCCAGGCATTTGTCATCAAACTATCTCTCGTTATTATGGAAGGAGCAAAATTATAGTAGGAAGAAGAATCTTCTACACTATTCGTGCATTTTCAGGTGACAATTCATGTCGTATCTTGCTAATAAATTCACATAATTTTCCCCTGAAGCAAAGTCGATTTGATTCGTTAAAACCAAGTCGGTTTGAAGGGGCGCTCAGGATTTATGTTTCTACTTTATGCCTCTGCTTCTCTGCAATCTATTAATTAACTGCTCGTTCCAGCGCTAAATTTTATTCAAACACTATGTTATTTTGAAATTAAACAATCTGATGATTCTTGGGTCATAAACAATTGAATCATAAAGGTAATGCAGTAGCAGAACGGCTAATTGTATGCCTAACATCAGAGAAACATGCCACAGCAAATCAGCATTTTTTGCCATTACAATCTACAGGCCATGCCAAGAGTACATGTTCCACATTGAAAAGTTTGGTCTGCACGGACAACACAATAATTTTTATCCTTCATTCCTCCTGTGCATGATTAAGAATCTGCCATAGATTCAGCTCATGATATTTGTTTATCTGGTCATATTCCTGCAAATGTTCCAGCATTTAAACTTCTAAATTCTGATATCAAGGAAAAACAAGGAATACAAGTCTTCTTTAAAAGCATTTGCTTCAAATTCTGCGCATGATTTGGCTACATACTTGTAAAAGGTTTAACTGATATGATGATATAACTATGCAAAAAACAAAGTCGAGTGCAAGTAATCCTCATGAATTTACTGATAAACTGTCACAGCACTGTCACAGTGCTAAGGGTATCATTTTTCCACTTATGAAAGGAACCAGTTCAAAATCCATCTTGTGTGGTCATGCGGGTAATTCAACTGACGCTATTAACTGCTAACTTAAAAATTTCAAAGCCTCATGAAGTTGGTTTTCAATTGTCAAAGTTTCTAAACACTGTAAGGGGTTAGTATAATGGAAATTGGCACACATGATAAAATGCAAAAAGATTGTGTAATGTGAATGCAGCCTAAGACAATAGTTGACTTTTCTAGAGTAGAGCATGATTGTAGTCACATCTGATGAAAATAGGAAAGTTGGTGAGATGTGTAAGTTTTTCTAGAACAAACAGAAACCTCAATTTGCATGCCCTTGTTGTTTAGTGTAAGGTTTTGTGAGTAGGGCAACCAGGTACCTTTGCATGTGTTTTTAGTGAACAGTGTAGACAAGCACTGTGATGTGATACAAGTTGCTTGTGGTTAACAATAATTTTGATCAAGAAATAGAACAAAAAAGACACTCAAGTAAAAATGACTTAAAAAGTTTACATGATACTATTGCTACCAGAAGTTATTCTAGATTGAATTTGAATAAGATATCAGTGCATTTCTCTTGCTATCAATGGAAATCAATGTTTCTGTCTTCTATTCGGCAAATAGTTCTATCAGTTTAACTATTTGCTCTTATCCTTATGTAGGAACACACAAATATGACTATGATATGGTTGTAGTTGGAGGAGGATCTGGTGGCCTAGCATGTTCAAAAGAAGGTAAATGCTATTTAGTCAAATTGAGATTTTAGCATTACAAATCACTTAGTACAGTAGCTTCCTTGCAAGTCAGAATATTTGATCCAAGCTTTTTAATGCGAGAAATTGTATCAGTAAGTTTTGGTGATCAATCATCTTTTCCTTTACAAGTACAAATGTCAGTAATTTATGGCAAAAGCATTTCAAACGTACATTAAATAGTATTTGAAAACAAATAGATTATCCTAAGAAAGAATCATAAATTTGTGCTTGATACTGAAAGTATTGTGTCTTCTTTTATCAGCTGCACATTTTGGGAAAAAAGTTGCTGTGTTGGATTATGTAGATCCATCTTTTCAAGGTTTGTTTCTCTTTCTTGAAGTTGTAAACTGAAAGGTCACATGCAAATCTACCATCCCTGTCAACCACCTTACAGTCAATAGGCGATTTTGGAAAATCAAGATTTTCCAGCCTTATGATGCAGAAATATCGCTCCCCCTAAATAAGTATTGGTTGAAAAGCTTTCTACTTAAAATCAAATTAAGGAGCCAATTTTCTATTAAAAAATGTCCATATCTACAATGCCAAAATTGTGGGTACATTACTCTAAAAATTTCCATACTTTCAGTGGCATCCCTCTCTCCTCTTTGAAGCAATGTTGAATAGTAAGTGTTTCAGACCTTAAAATTTATTCAGTGTGGCTCTAACAAATAACTAGAAAGGAATGAACAGATACCCATTATCATTAGATGTTAGACTTTGGAAGGGGGGATGGGCTGAAACATAAAATGCATTCAGCAGTTAAACCTTTGGGGGTCAAGGATTATGTGATGCAATGGTAGACTGCAGTGAAAATAGCAGAGAGGGTGCAGCAATGTTAAATATAAAAAAAAGCTCTAGTTTGTCATTCGAAAGAGCATTCAGCTGCAAGTTTGCTTTTCCATGAGTTTAAATAAAATAACAGTAGTTTTCATTTAGGAAGTGAACAAAATGGATTTGCAAAGTCTTCAGAAATTTAAAGCTCACATCTTTAATGTATTTATTCACTAATGCTTTAGTGAATAATATGTGAAACAGAAGATGGCAAACTGACCTGCTAAACTGGAATGTGAAGACTATTATCTGTTTTAATCAATAACTATTTTCTTTTTTACATTCTTGTCAGTTTTATGTTTAAGGGACCTGACATATCTTGCAGTTATCCAAAAACAAATTGAAATGTTTTTGGGTTTTTAGCATATTTAAATGTTTTGTCTTTTCAAGCATTGCAATTGTTTTGGTTGTGTTCTAGGTACAACGTGGGGTCTTGGTGGAACATGCGTTAATGTTGGCTGTATTCCAAAGAAGCTTATGCACCAAGCAGCATTGCTAGGAGAGTCTGTTAGGGTAAGAATATCACACACAATTTATATAATAAAATATATTCTTCTATATATAATGAAAATTATTGTTTACCGGTCTGTATTTTTGTATATATTGATATTAATTGTAATGTAATTTCTTGTAATATTTTAGTGCTATTGTAAAGCAAGAGTTAAATGAAACACCCAAAATTGATGTAACGTTCAATACGAGATTCTTCTAGCATGCTTCAAAGTCTTGTGAAGTGCTAGATACTGTAAATCGCAAGAAATCTGTATCTACAATTAAATTTTATCAATAAATGAACGTTTTTATCATTTCTTTTATTCCAAGGCCCTGCTTCTTATTATTCCGTTTTTGTACGTCTCCGTTTTCGGATCACTCCGTTTTCGTATTTTCATAGACCACTCCCATTACTCTGGCCCTCTCGGTTTTGTCAAAAAGAAAACGAGCTGGTCCTGATACTCCGTATTCATCTGTTATCAAATCTTTGTTCAAGCTTGTTTTGAAACAGAAAATGGATTACTCCGTATTCGGATGACTCGTTTTCCAAATTGCTCCCATCTCATCCGAGAGTGTGAGATGTTTGCTGTTGAAGGTTAGGGCAGGAACATCTCAAAACTAACCATGTGACATTTACGTCGCAAGCAAATTGTTGTAGTAGATTTTATCACCCATAAACATTGGGGTCAAGACGGTCATGACGTGGAACGTTTCATTGGTCAATCTCTCCCACCAGAAATGCTAGATTTTGCTAATTTTGCTTTATTCTTAGCGAAAGTGTGCAAACATCACCGAAGTATGTTTATGCACACTTCCTTTCGACCTCATCAGTTAGGTCTTTAGGTACGATTTTAAGTTTTGTCATATCTATTATTTCTAAGATAAATTGTTGAACCTTTTACTACGAAAATTTTTATCTTATCGTTGCATATCTTTACAGGATGCAAAGAAATATGGTTGGAACATTCCTGAAAATTTTAACCACGATTGGTGAGGCAATTTCACAGGAATATTAATGTAAATCATTTTTTTCGGACAACTAGATTTCAAATATCACCTTCTTTTACAACTGTGTTAACATTTTTAACAAGATTTAAAAGCACAGGACTGTGGAAAGAGTATCAAACACACAGCAAAATTATGCACACAGCTAGATAATGGACACAACCATTATCATTTATAATGGAATTAACTCTAGATACTCTGAAAAAGTAAGATCCTAACATTCAGTGTTCTTGTTGTAGGCTTACCGTAACTCGTCACTATTTATTTTTCGTTCGAATAATAATTTATTTTTTCACCAACCACGTCCCTCCCGACCCATGCCATACACATCTATCACCCAATTTAGCGGTATATAGGGTTGCAACATAATTCTTAATTTGGGTCTTTGGTTACAGTGGTAATTAATGGACTTAGTGTGGTTACAGTGCAAATTTCATGACTGCTTAAAAATACAGTATGAATATCGTACTGATTTATTAATAGAATTAACCTGTTGGTTCCTTGTTCTATTGCAATCAACGAGCGACTGAAATTCCTAGTGTATTATATTTGGAAAAAGAGAATGAATACATTTCCTTGATTTTAAACCGCCATGTGAGCAGATTTCAAAGCTGCTTATTTACATAGCTGTAACGAGATAAGAAGTATTACTGTGAGACAACTGTGGGACTTGATCAGAAGTAAAAAGCTAGGGCTGCTAAAAAGCTAGGGCTGCTAAAAGCTAGGAGAGGCATCTGTTTTATTGAGTTTACTTGCCCAAGGCTTCGACTGCAGGAAAGTTTTGAACAGAATTATTTGTCCGTTATTAAAGTGTCTGTTATTAGTAGGTTTATGTTAATTCGAACCTTTGTTAATTTGAGTTGTCCGTTAATGGAGATGTCCGTTGATTTGAGGCGTCCGTTAAGAGAAATTTCCATTGATGAGGGGTTGCTGTTTATGGGGACGTTCAATATTGAAAGATGTCTGTCAACAGGAGGTTTTCTGTCAATTGGAGGTGTCTATTATTGCGTTGTTTCTTATTGAGAGATGTCCGTTATGGGAGGTTTTACAATAGAGGAGTGAAATCCTTTTAATGCTCCATGTTATCAAATATTGCAATCGGCTCTTTCAGGTCAGTCCTCTCAGAAGCTGTGCAGAATCACGTACACTCGTTGAACTGGGGACACAGAGTGCAGCTGAAAACAAAGTACGATTGTTTTGAGTTTCTATGAACATCGAATGAGGTTCTTGGCAGAAGTCTGATTTGAAAATGAAGTCAGCTAACAAAAGACTACCCTCTCCCTCATTTATATCTTCGAATTTCGTATTTTTCCTGTTAAAACCACACTTCAAACTAGAGAAATAATACTTGATCATCTGCTGAATTTATTTTATGCTTGGTTTTAAGTAATTTCTTGTGGCAAGCTTTTGGCTTATAAAATAACATGAAATTGTTTGAAATCTTTAAATCTATTGAAGAGAAAATTGAATTTTGAGGCAGTATCAGTGTCTTGTCTTAATTTTGGATTTTTTCTCTTAAGATGCACAGTTTTGTTGTTATTCTGTTGATACCTATACCCTAAGCCTCATTTTTCTCTCGTCAAAAGATTTCGAAGGTCAAGTTAAATCTTCCGGAATTATAGCAGCCACCAACCCCTGTATTTTTAATCTTAGTTTTGTGTTTTATTATAGTAATTTTTCTATTATAGATAACTTTTTATTTTCAGGTCTGTTGATTATATTAATGGCAAAGGCTCCTTTCTGGATTCTCATACTATAAAAGCTGTGACGAAAAATGGTCGAGAGGTAATTAGCAATCATATTTGCCCAACATCAAGTTGGGTGAAATGAATGCTCGTGTGACCACCATGTTGGGTCATCCAACATCGTCATTTTTTATGTTGGATGAAATTTGATTGACTGAGGTAAAAAATTTTGCCAGGCGACATCCAACAATTCTATTGTTTTGAAGTGTTAGAAAATGTTGAGTGAAATGTTGGATCGTTTGACCACCAGCGTTGGATCATATTCTAACGTCAAAGAAAAATGTTGAGTGAAATGTTGGATTGTTTGACCACCAGCGTTGGATCACATTCTAACGTCAAAGAAAAATGTTGGGTGAAATGTTGGATCGTTTGACCACCAGCGTTGGATCATATTCTAACGTCAAAGAAAAATGTTGGGTGAAATGTTGGATCGTTTGACCACCAGCGTTGGATCACATTCTAACGTCAAAGAAAAATGTTGGGTGAAATGTTGGATCGTTTTACCACCAGCGTTGGATAACATTCTAACGTCAAAGAAAAATGTTGGGTGAAATGTTGGATCGTTTGACCACCAGCGTTGGATCATATTCTAACGTCAAAGAAAAATGTTGGGTGAAATGTTGGATCGTTTGACCACCAGCGTTGGATCATATTCTAACGTCAAAGAAAAATGTTGGGTGAAATGTTGGATCGTTTGACCACCAGCGTTGGATCACATTCTAACGTCAAAGAAAAATGTTGGGTGAAATGTTGGATCGTTTGACCACCAGCGTTGGATAACATTCTAACGTCAAAGAAAAATGTTGGGTGAAATGTTGGATCGTTTGACCACCAGCGTTGGATCATATTCTAACGTCAAAGAAAAATGTTGGGTGAAATGTGGGAACGTTTGACCACCAGCGTTGGATCACATTCTAACATCAAAGAAAAATGTTGGGTGAAATGTTGGATCGTTTGACCACCAGCGTTGGATCATATTCTAACGTCAAAGAAAAATGTTGAGTGAAATGTTGGATTGTTTGGCCACCAGCGTTGGATCACATTCTAACGTCAAAGAAAAATGTTCAGTGAAATGTTGGATCGTTTGACCACCAGCGTTGGATCACATTCTAACAAAAAAAAATGTTGGGCGAAATGTTAGGTGAAATGTTGGATCGTTTGACCACCAGCGTTGGATCATATTCTAACATCAAAGAAAAATGTTGGGCGAAATGTTGGGTGAAATGTTGGATCGTTTGGCCACCACCGTTGGATCACATTCTAACGTCAAAGAAAAATGTTGGGCGAAATGTTGGATCGTTTGATCAGGGCTTAAAAACTTGCGAGTATATCATTATTCAGCTTTAATGGTGTTGTACAGAATTTGCTTTGCAAATGTATTTTCTCAAGATCAGGGAATTCTGGATAGCGCAAGAAAAGGATCGATTGTGTTCAAAAAAGTATTGTATTGCTGATTATTATCTCACGTTAATACCTTTGGGTTAGGGTTTGGTCTTCAGCAACTTCAGAAGATTTTCTATATTTGATATTTTCAAATTGCAAGTAAACCAAGCCATAAGGGATCTCTTAATTAAAAAGCATATTCAAAATTGTTCTTAGGAACATGTTACCCTGTAAAGCTACGAAAAGTAATATAGCATTTCATTGTTGTCATTATTAAAGTGCTTGATTTTGCTTATTCGAAAAGACAGACAGATTTCATAAATGGTAGGGGTGCTTTGGAACTTTCAACGAAGAACGTCTCGCCTCTCAGGCATGCAGAATCTCCTCGTTTATTTCAAGAATATAAACTACAGAGACAATCTCTCAAACCTAATGAAATAATGAAGAAGTCATTGTTTTCAATTCTGGCACATTATCTTTCTAATGCTCAATGCTTTGAACTGATTTTTTCTATTTGAGTAAGTTTTTTCAGAAAAAAATTCGTAGGGTTCTTTTGCCAATTTTTTTAAAAAGAACCAACGGAAAGTTAGTTCTTCTTACTAGCTTTTGTTCAACTTTTTGGAAATAGCTGAAAAATCGTGCTTTTAGTATTTGTTAACGATATCTTTATCGTTATAATTCGATATTGATTTCTGACTATCATTTCAAGATTATTATCCGTTTGTAGCGTAACCACCGATACAGTTGGTGTTATTCTGCCCCAAATAACTGGTTTGCCGCGTAAAGAAAATAAAAAGCTTTTCTAAAATCGATCTTACTTTTTTGTGCAGAAACCTTGAAAATTCCCTGACCATTTTCGAATAGATTCAGATTTCATTTTCGATTGATTGAAAAGCCTGTGCGGTATCATTACCAAAACCTGGTTGTAGTGAAGTATGTGAATTGGATGAAATGTTAGTTTCAAGAGCCCCCAGGCTTTTGGCACAGAATTCTATGCTTTTGGTAAACATGTCTGTAGCCTGAGGCATGCTCAGGGATGACAGGAAAGCCGGTAACCTTTGTCTTGCCACTGTCACATCTAAGGGTATTGCCACTTAGACTGAAACTATTAAGGAAATTTAAAGAGAATCACATTTAAGGAGGTTCGCGTTCGTGACGTGGTATCGCTGGTTTTATAGCAATGACTACACTGTTAATCAAAAGCAAAGGTTGTGAAGACGATGAAAATTCATTTGACTTTTCTTCGTTAATTATTTCTCAAAACCAATTTTAAAAGCAAATATCGATCATATTACAAAAATAACTAATTTGTTGTCAGATTATAAAGGCTGATTGTTGTTAATAAATTGTTTCTTTGGTAAAATCTTTCATTTTTTAAATACTTTTATTTTATTCTTATAAACAGAAAATAATTTCTGGTCAAAATATTGTTGTTGCTGTAGGCGGAAGACCACGCTTTCCAAATGTGAGTTTTTTCTCATCTAAATAATTGATGTATACATAAACATAAACATCTTTGTTTGTGTTGCGGATAATGATGTAGCTGTTCTACTGAAATAGGCCCTTGAACGTGAAATGTGTCGAGAATCTGAAACTTTTCCAGGAAGATCAAGGGTTAAAACTTAACTTTAGACATGTTCTAGGGTTTCAATTATTGTCTTCCTCAAATGTCACAGTGTTCGAAAAAATTTTTATCGACTTGGTAAATTTTTTTAGTTCATTCACATTTTGTCACGTTTAGCGGAGATTTTCATTAGTGTTTCCTTTTATTTGCATTTACTAATATGTTGATGTATTTCAGCCTTATGGCTAGTGTTATGAACGTAAGATGGCAACTTCCTTATCTCATCTTGGGCTAATAGGAATTTTCTTGTCAGATTCCAGGGGCTAAAGAGTATTGTATCTCCAGTGATGATTTGTTTTGGTTGAAAAAGCCACCTGGGCGCACGTAAGCCTTTTTTGTCATAATATTTCTTTACTGTCAATTCTTTTAACTAACAGTTAATTGCCTTTGTGACTACACTCATTTTTTAATAAGAAACAGCTTATAAGGAACGGTAGGCTCAGTTTTTCAAAAGTTAAGAAACAACCCTACCTAAAAAAGACTTTTATCACTTTTAACTAAAAAAGACTTAAGAAACTTTTATCATTTGCAGTTTTAATCTTCCGAGTTGACACTCGAAACAGTCTTGACATTGAACACTTGACATGCAGTTTGCATTCATTCTCAGTAAATTGCACACTCAAGAAGTTTCCATTTAAAATTTTTTTTTGACTTCAACTTGACATTGATGAAGTTCAGTGAGCTTAACTGTTTACAGATCTCAACAGAGTTGGCCATTCTGAGTGAACTATTTACTTTACCTTGTAAACACGTTTAAAAAAAATTCATTTCCTAAGAAATCTAAGAAACATGTAAAAAACTATTGATAGCAAAATGGCCAGAAAATTTAAGAAACTGCCTACCATCACCACAGGGATGTAGTCGTAAAATTTTAACAAGGGGGGCTCTATGAAATTTCTAAGTTGCTCTTGCCATGTCATCATTGCAAATGGAAGCATGAGAGGGTTGATTTTTTTCCAATCATTTGTTGAGCAGCCAGGTACATTGACTTTCTTGAGTGGTAGCAGAGATCAGAACATTGATACCATGTGAAGGGCTGGGGAAACTTCACTGCAAGTGAAGGGGCAAAATGATTATATTGCCCAGGGTTTCCATGATTGGCGGCGAGAAAAAGTTTGAGATATGACATTCTAAGGATGACCAGAAAATGCATCAAAAATATTTGCAACAATTGATAAGAAAGATCCTAGGCAGTATATTCATAAGCCTGTTTTTAATAATTATGACCAATTGGTTGGATTTTGAATCGACACATTATCTCTCGTGTTAAAAAAAGCAGAGCAGATTTTGAACAGTGTTACTTAAAATGCCATGCAACTGTGTTATTATGTAGATTTAGAAAGCATTCAAAGTTTGCAGATATAGAAAATCAACTTTGAAATAAGAACAGAATTAAAAACACCCAAGCCTGAAATTATCCAAAAAATTAAAACATTAGGTGTCAGCAAAAATTGTATTGTTCTTATAAAAAGATGTTAAAAATAAGCAAGACAGAGTCAAATAATAGCAACCATTTAGTGATTCAGGCCGATAACCCTATTTCTAAATGCAACAACAAAAACCTACTGTCTATACAAAACTGCAACTAAACGTACTCAGTAAGAAATCATTCAATAATTTTCTATCTATATATGTCAAACTTTGTGTACATTTTCATGTATATAAAGCTTGGAATGTGTTTAAATCTATCAGTTGTATCTCTTTTCTATCTCTGGTTTAGTCGTACATGGCTGACCTGTGGTGAAGCAACAGTTCTTCACAGCTTTCTTTGCGTTCCATGATTCTTGGCTATATCCAAGCAAAAACGATGAGGGTGTCTGAGGCCCCCCCCCCCACTTTTTTCGAAAATTTTAACAAGGGGGGCTGCGCCTCCTGAGCCCCCCACCACTACATCCCTGCATCACCGGACCTTGGTTTCTTATAGAAATAATACGTGTATGTTTCGAGGGTATGTTGATTGGTAATCCAGGAAAAACAACTTTTATCGCATAGACTGTTCCAATTTTATCTAGACCTTGCAAAGCAAATATTGTTTGACATGAACACTGCGCAAAGAAAAGCCTTCTCAATCTCCAGTTTTTTCTTTACCGCTAGTAATTGATTTCTTAATTACGTGGCCACAAAACTAATACATTTTCATGGAAAAGGAAGGCCAATTCTAAGACGGGATTTATTCAAGTTCATAATGTCTAAAACATTAGAAAGAGAGTGATCGAATTTTTGGATTGTTCAATATCCGTAGTTAAACCTCTTGGGCTTCTTTTACATAGACCTGGCAATATATTTTCAGATTAGAGAGCTTTTTAGTTGTATTTTCAATGTTCGAATCTCTACTTACCATTGAAAAGGTCTGGTGAAAAGTTTGTCACCCTTTCGTGGGTTTGAAAAGTCACCCTACTGCTTCTGTGCTCTTTGCCCAAAATAAATTCACTTCGCTTGTCTACAAATGAGCTATGCCCCCCTCTACCTCCCTAACTGCAAATGCATACAGCTGATGATATAGCTGGATACGAATGGCATTGTCATCTGCACAAATCAGTCCTCAAAGAAAATAAAGTCACTTCAAGTCAAACCTTGCTATTATGATCAACAGCGTCAAGCAAGGATCGAGATACCAGGGGGGGGCCTTGGCTCCCCTAAAAACTTAGCATAAGTGAAATACTTTTCTTTTTTAAAATATGGCTATTGTTACACTTACTTATCAAGGCTGCCCCCCCTCCCCTCCAACAAAAAGTTCTCTCTTTACCGTCAATAGTCTCATATTCATTTCAGACTCGTTGTTGGTGCAAGCTGTATCCTTTTGAAAATAACTTAGGTATGTGATTATTATCAGGGGTTAGTCGATGGCTATTAATATTTGCCTTAAAAATGTCTTTTAACTTGTACTATCGCCGCAAATTTGGCTTGTAATTTAACTGCCAGTTAGAACTGTACATCGTATTGGCGCTGAAGGGTTTATATCTGTTTGTAAATTCTGATTCCAGCCGTCCAATAGAGGTGTTTTGAATATGGAAATATGTTGTTGACGAGCAAAGACGAATTTACATTCGCTTGATATTGTTAGAAGGGATTATGACTAATCTAGTTTTTTAATAAAATGAGGTGAAGCTCCAAGTCTGTAAATACACAGCTTGAGCTAATAGACTCATTTCGTGAGCATATAAAAATATATTTGCGAAGTTCTTTGGAATTTTCATTAGGCACCAAAGATTAAACGCCGGTACGAGAAAGGAATATGGAAATCTTTCGTGTTTGTGAAATCTGTTTTGAGATCAAGAAAGACCACACTATAACGACTGACGTCTTGCAAACAATTACGTGGTCTTGAATTTGGGCCCAGTAAAAAGTTTGTGTAAAGATTCTCTTTTGAGCGACTAAACCATCAATTTAAATGCACAGTTACTACCCTACTTCCAACTGAAGCATTGTCATTTTAAGCGATAATAAGTTTTGGGCAACATTTTTATAACTATTGCCTAGAACCTTATCTAATGAGCTTCAATGCCAGTGGGGATAGTAGGAATATTCCTACCTCCTTTTATCCGCAAGTAATTTTCTTTAAAAAGGCCCTGCTATCGTTTCTTATTTTCCTGAACCAAGTAATTTGATTGCCTGGTGTTACTAGGGTTTTTCAACAGAAGTTGTGCAGTTAAATTTGTGTCTAATATTAACGTAAAGTTTGTAATGTTATAGTTTCGAAGCATCCTGTTTTGCAATAATTTTTCAATCCCTAGTAGAAGAATGCTTGAAAATGGTATGTTTTGCGTTTGTGGGCATTTCTTTCCATGTCCTGAGAGACATCAAGGCTACCAAAGGTCTCAGATAACAAGAAAGTAAGGATTGGCAATCTTCTTATGGAGGAGAAGATATCTGAAGAAATTGTAAAAGACGCTTTGGTGAGCTAAGCAGAGATTAAGATTTAATCAGAACACGGTATCAAAAGAGAATGAAATTGTTTTTGGGAAAAAGATTAATGGAAACCACCCATAGGTTGATAAATATTTATCAGAGTGTCTTATGTTAACAATAGGAACCGTTTATTCCAAGCGTGTTTCAAAAAAATTTCTGTAGATAAGTGGGAAACTCATTTTACCATGTATTCAAGCATTTCAATTGTACGCTAAAATGAATTCCATTAGAATGTCAATGTTGTTATTCTGAAAACTTAAGTTCTTTTCAGTTTGATGGGTTGTTGTGGCATGGAGATATGGGTAAGGTCTCAGTATTGGTCAGGCGAAGCATGGTAAGAGCAGCGTATTTTAAATGGCCTTTCAGATATTCTTCCAATATTTACCTAAATTGCAAAATGTTTCCCCTAAAAATTTTTCAGGCTATCATTGAAAGATTTGCTATAGCTTTACTGCTTTCACACTTTGAATTTCCCGTTCCAACACATGAAAAAAACGGGGAAAACCTGAAATCACTTAAACACAGCGTTCTTAAACCGTGATTAGAAGATGAAGCATAGTGAGCTTCGATTATTGATAAGAATCTTGGCGCGTCGTTTTTAATTCACATTGAAGTAACCAATGCATAGCCTTCGGGTTTTAGCTCTTGGCAGCTGCTTTGGTGTCCATTCGTGTGGCAAAATGAAGAAGCTTAAGCCAAAGAAATAAGTCCAAAAAAAGTGATATTGACGTAAGGGAATGATTTCGGGGTTGTCACATCGTTATATAAATGTACTGGGTTTAGAAATTTTCATCGTTATGTGTATGCCTAAGATGATATAGAAGGTTAAAACTCAGATACATATGACTGTAAATATATTTGTTGCGCCAACTAGACAATGTATGGTCAGAAATTTATTTCGTATAGGGAAACCGCTATTTCTCTGTACGGACCCATGTGTTGGTACTCTATACAGAGCTTGTTATAGACCGTATCCAACTTCATGGTTGGGTTTCCCACCAGCCTAAACCCAGAGAAAAAGGATATAATTTTCTTAACATATGACAGATGTATCTTTAGAATGTGCAGGATTTCTGAATGGTTTAGGATATGACACCTCCATTATGGTACGCTCCATACTGCTACGTGGATTTGATCAGGTGAGAAATGGTGCCGTGACCCGGTCTATTTGATTTGATTCAATAACGTAACTATTCAGAGTTTTAAGAAACAGTGGAAGGTTTGTCGTTTGTTGGCTTTATACTGTTTATGACTTATGTATTTTTGCTTGTAAACCATAGAATAGGTTACAACAAAAGGCAAAAAATTTTATGCAGTCTTACATTCAGTCAAATATTTTACATTACGTTTCTCAATGAAATGAAATTCTAATTGATAGATCTATAGAAACTAGAAATTCGAACATAAAGCGGTAACACAAACTATTTTCTATTCTTTAATCAATACATTTTATTGTCACGTCCTATGTGATTTCTAAATCTTCCATCTTTTCGTAGCAAATGGCTAGTTTCGTTGGCGAGCACATGGAAAGTCAGGGAATCAATTTCATAAAGAGTTCTGTCCCAAAACGCGTCGAGAGAATGAAAGATGGCAAACTGGAAGTGTTTTATGATAGCTATGAGTGGGGGGAAGAACATTCTGACGTCTTTGACACAGTTATTTTAGCAGTTGGTATGAGGTTTTAGTTGTTAAGGATAGAAAAAGAGCAGTCACTCTCTTTGGGCTGCCTTATGAATCTGTAACAGCTCCTCGCATGCGGCATTTTCTCAAAAATAGTTGTTTTGTCCATTCGTAAAAAAGACTGGGTTATTTGGAGTCTAGTTAATATTTGCGCGTAGCAGGTTGTTGTAACAACATTCCTTTTAATGTTATGTTTTTTTTAACATTGGATTAGAGGCCATCTTGGCCAAGATACCTTAGCCAAGCCATATCGTGGAGACATCTTATTCACTCACCCACATTGCCACTTCTCCTATAACCTCTCGCCTTCCTAACGCTGGCCCTCTACTCCTGTCCCCAATCTGCTTTGAAACACCTTGTAGCTGTATATGTCTACTTGTGAAAATATGCAACAACCTTATCTTCCAAGTAAAGTTTCAAAATGCCGTAATGGGTTACTTCTTAAAAGGCAACAACTTTACCAATCTACGAATGTATTCGCAAATTCGTTGGTAGCATGGTTTGTTGTATATTGCACTTCACCTCTCATCTCTTTTAGAGCGGATAAGTTTTGATCTTTTCATTTTGTCGAAAGTTAAAGCAATCTACTGTGCCTGACGTGAGACTTGCTCTTGCAGGTCGTGATCCTGTTACCAAAACCCTAGGACTCGAAAAAATTGGGGTAGAATTTGAGAAATCAGGGTATATTGTTTGTCATAAGGATGAGCAGACCAGTGTTGAGAATGTTTATGCCATTGGTGATGTTATTCAGGTATTCTCATGTCGTACAATTTTCTACCTGCTTTTGCCTATAATTCTTTCATTTTAGAATTAATTTTTGTATATATCGGGAAACTGTTCCTATTCTCAAACACGCCTTGATATCATTTGAAAGTTAATGTTAAGTTTCTTAACAGCTGTAAGCTTTTAAGCTTTATCAAGCTTTATAGCAACTATAGGCTTTATCAAGGGTGCAATTACCACGTGGCTTCTGTGTGGAAATATTCGCCAGGCATGAAGCTTACGACTAAGACTTTTTAACGTGAAAAATCAGTGATGTGAAATTTTAAGAATAAATCCCTACACAAAGATTGTCAAACCTGGACGAGAAGAACGGTTCTATATGCCAACGTATTATACCTATATACTTTATTTTAGTGCTCCTGTATGCTGTAAGAAGATCTTATGTGTTCATTTTTAGGACAGGCCTGAGCTAACACCCGTTGCTATAATGGCTGGCAAATTATTGGCAAGAAGGCTTTTTGATGGATCAACTGAGTTGATGGATTACGATAAGGTGTGTTTCTAGAAGTCTTGTCTCGGTTTTTCTTATTTCTGATTGAAAAGGACAAAATGAGCTTAAGTATATGATACGCAAAGGCTTTTCAGCAGGGCTAGCTCCTTAGTTGGGCCGTTCATTATACCTAGACAATGACGTATCTATGATTATGAATATCTTTTGACGACTTACAAAGTACAATTTATGCATCCCGAAGTAATATCAAATTGTATTTGCATATCATACAGATACCAACGACTGTTTTCACCCCTCTTGAGTACAGCACTGTGGGATTGTCTGAAGAGAAAGCGGATGAGGTGCATGGTCATGATAATGTTGAGGTAAATTAATCTTCATTAACATACGACGCGATCATCATCAGTGGTAAAGTGTAACTCTGTCTTAACTATTACGTTTGTAGTGGCTGTCGGATTGCGTCAATCATTGGCTTCTTATTCCTTCCTTTTGATCGGCTTTTTTTGTTGTTGTTGAAATTAGGTTGTCTCAATTTAATCGTTCCTGATCGGTGCGTGTGGCACTGAGTCACGAAACCAAATGTACGACAGTTTTCACACAAGAATTTAAAATAGTTTGAATAGAATATATTTGCTTCGTGTTTCGTAGAAAAGCTTTGGACAAAATTTATGTTTTTATTCTACCAAATACGTTTACCGATCTGTCGCGTAACTCCATTTTCATTTTGCTATGCATGTTTATCAGCAAATCAAGGTCTAAGTAATACGTTCAATGTAATAAGAGAAATATTTTACCCCTGGGCCAGTCTTTCATCGGGTGTTTTTATTGTCGTTGTCGTTGGGTGTTTTTATTGTTTTGCCACGATATCAAAGTCACGTCAGCTCAAATACAGATGACCCTTAAGCGTATTTGCTTCGCATTAAAGTCTCGTCTTTAATGGGAAAGATACAACTCAGTGAAAAGATTGTCTACAAGACCTCTGGGTCTGGTAACTAAGAGGTCATCGTACAAAATGAAAGCTCTATGAAGAATTTGAAAACTCCTAACCGAATGGATTTGTGTCCTTTTGAAACGGTATTGTTGCAGAGGAAACGGCAAAACATACTTTGTATATGTGGAAATATAGTTTACCCCTTAATAATTGTTGTAACTTTTATTGTTGGCTATAAATTAAAAATGTTGTCTGGAGTTTATGATAATGCAGCGACTGGATTAATTAATAAAAACACTTTCGGTTCTTTCATTAACATCATTTCTTTCTTGGTGCCGTTTTTTCATTTCAAAATTTAAAGCGTCTAAATTTTCAGTTCTTGCTAATGACTGTAATTGTGTAGTTTAAACATGGCCTGAACACCAAAAGGACCTTGTTATAACCTGTGAATTTCATTTATGTTTGACGGTCATTCCAAATTTTGTATTTTTGAGACAGCTATTCAGACCTGTAAATGCTTTTAGTTTTGTAAAACTGCCCTTGACTTGCAGAATACTAAAGATAAATTTGTTTTAATACCTGCTATTTTTGTTATTACTTTATTTCATTGGTTTACAAACATATTCTGTTTGCCAGTACGTTATCAGTGACGTGTATCAATAGAAATACACATTTTTATCAGAATTTACCTAATTTTCTTTTCCATCCCTAATAGTTGTTTAATAGCTTTTGAAACATTAATTGTGAGTCTCTTTTTGCCAGTTATAATCTTAAATCTTCATATACATCGTTTTTGGACGAAATAAAGACTGTTTGTAGAGGTCGATCAGCCATGCCCTCTGGTTTCTCAAGCCAGTACGATGAATTATTACTTTCTTATTTAAACAATATTTCGGGGTACCTTCAATTTTAGTCAATTTTAAACCAACGATGACGCGGACGTTGTCCTTTTCTTTTTGTTTGCACATTTGCAAGATGACTTGTTTTTCCATTTTAGTTATTTTTAATCATTGACAACTTGACACTAACAGCCAAATAAAATCAAATAAACCTAAAGTCATATCAGAAAGAGGATTTTGATTCGATTTTGATGTCACATATTCGGCTTGAGTGAAGTGTTGATTTGTCATCTGAAGTTATAAAATCCTTTAGAGTAACTTTTCATCTGGAGATATCCATAGCCATGAATCAATTACAAATGTTTGATTAAAAAATCTCATTTTAAAAAGCATAGAATCACCAACATTTAAACGAATTGAAATCGTATGGGGTCATGAAAAGGTTCAGAATCTAGATATGTGTGCGGGACAACCGTAGCTAGGCAAACCATCAACAATGAATTGCTTTACAGGACACAGGACGAGTTTGATTTCACTACGATGAATCATTTACACTCCGTGACATATGTATATTCAAAGTTGAATCACTATTCTAAGTCAAGTAATTGATTGATCAGATAAAATAAAGAAAGAAGAGAAATTATTACTCATACGATACATTAATAGACTTTCTCGTTCTAGTTTGAAAATTTAAAAATTAATCGATGTATAATATTTTTCTCTCGAAGCTATCAACTATCGCATATTATCTTTTAGTTTGAGAGTTGTAAAAGGGAACTTAGAACCAGTACCGCCTCTCAGTGCCAAAGAAGCAATTTGTGGTACTTCGCTAAAAGTTACTTCAGTGATGTAATGACTACCCTTGAATACCCGTAGCATAATGTATATTTATTAAACTATTTCTTGTATTTAACATTTCTCATTATTCTTAGGTCTATCATGCATTCTACAAGCCTTTGGACTACAGTATCCCTGATAAAGATGCATCGCAATGTTATATGAAGGTAATCAAAACTTACTTACTAATTTGCATTGCGATTAAGATAGACACCTCGATATAGTGGCATTTGTGGGAAGTTCAATGTTCTGTTGTTTGAAGTTTGTGTTATTAAGAGCTGTGTGTTAGTTTAGGTTTCAATGTAGATTAAATCCTTTTCAACTATTGCCGGATGAAATTTCACGGATATTCTCATGATATAACGTTTATAGTGTACTGGTTTGACTCCGCAGTAACGAGATACAGAGCGTGTCAGATTCCAGCGACATTGTGCCAACAGAATGTCTATCAAATTTGAAGTGTTCCAATACAAAATTGACCCGCTAATTTGTAAGCAGGGCCTAATTGTAGCAATTTGTGTATCTGTTTTATTAGTCACATCCATACGGCGTTGTTTTGTCATGTGACATGCGTCAAGTTATGTTCTACAAGTACCTAGTAGTGCCCTTTGATAAACGCGTTCTGAGATGCAGCTCAACATCATACTAAGTAATAGCAATCCATTTAAAGAATCAAGGAAAAGAAGTGACAAGGTTTTGTAGACATTTCCATTTGAAAACGTAACTTTTTTGCGGCCCAAATTTGTTATCAGTCGCGGAAAGTAAGAAGATTGACGTGTTTGAACTCTACACGTTGACAGAAATTTCGATCTTTGTCATTTGAACCTTCTCTTGCAGTTTCGGTGTCTTGGATGTTTTCGAATATTGGAATTTTAAGGGAATCGACCCATGTAAATGTGGCAGAAGCCATCTGCCAATCCATATTAGCCAATCAATGAGCGTGTGAGTGGATCCACGCTCGTTTATTGGTCAATTTTTTATTGAAAGATCGCTTAAGCCCCTTAAGTTTTTGTCAATTGCCGGTCAAAGTTTAGCATTTTAGACTAAATTTGAGTCCTGCAAGTGTTTTTTGTATGGCAAAAGAATATGGGAAAATTTGAAGAAGAGAATATGCAGATGATATTTTTTTCTAGCAAACATCTGAATACGCCCAATGTCTCAAAAACAGTTATCGAAAAGACTTTTTGCCTACGTCCTATTTTGAATTCGCCATTTTCTTAAATCTCCCAGGTTGTTTGCAAGTTTGAAGGTGATCAAGAAATCCTTGGAATTCATTTCCTTGGGCCAAACGCTGGCGAGGTTATGCAGGGGTTCGCAGTAGCTTTAAAGTGAGTAAAATTTAGAGACCTTTTCTTGAGACTTGCCTTGCTTCTTGGTGAATCAACAACAATAATCCCTCGTATTGCCAGAATTTAGCACCCAGACACAAAATCTTGAAGGTTCTTAAGAGTAAAGATTGATGAGTGATATTTCCACAAGTTTCGTTGCACTCGAAATAGATATTTGAGTTCTAATACTTCTTGATAGTTATGTTTCTCTTTTTTAAATGCATGACGTGAAAGTCCTAAAAATTTAACAGTTATTTTCTACAGAATTCAATTATGGTAAGAAAAGTATTCACCAACCTTTATCCTCCTATAAATGTACAAATGATTCGCTGACAGTGATTCGCTGAAAATCGTGTACACCCCTGTTCCAGTCTGCTGACATCCGGCAGAAAATATAATTCCCAGACAAAATTTTCTTGATTGCTTTTCTCTGAAGATTTAAGAATAAGAATTCGTCAAAGAATAACCTTATGGTGTGAATCTGATAATTAAAGTTTTTTCGTTTCTAGAAATTAATTTTCTTAGTAGGAAACTTTCTATATCAGTATCATAGAATAGTTTAATGATTTGAATATAGTAATGCAAACTTTTTATTTCTAGAAATGGCCTAACTTACAAGCAACTCTCAACAACAGTTGGGATTCACCCAACTTCTGCTGAGGAGTTAGTCAAACTGAATATATCCAAGAGGTCTGGGCTCGACCCACATGTTACTGGTTGCTGAGGATAGCTTAGCTCTTCCCAGGCCTTTTGTTCAATCTGTGTATAGCCTAATTTGTTACCTGTGGTTGTATGTTTACAAATGAAAGTCGGTGGGAAAAAGTCAGTGACTGCTGACTGAATGACTGATAATTATGTCACCGAAAATTTAGTTAGTTCAATGACACCACGCAACTTCAACCTCCTTTTCTTTGTGAATTTTTTACACAGATTGTGTAGAATTGTCACATTACTTGTGAAAATATCAAATCAGTTCTACTCAATCAATCCCACTTAGAAGGGGGATGAAAAGACAACATCTCCCATAGCAACATCGTTTTGAGTGCTTGGTTTTTTTCCTGGTCTGTTTTTTTTCCAATTGTCGTATATTTTTAAGGAAACGCCACTGAGCTATGTGAAAAGAAAACCCACTGTATCATATTAATTTCAAGAAAAGCTCAAAGACATGGAATATAGAAGTATAGGTTTGCCTGGGATTTACATTCACCCCACCCCTCTCCCGGGTTTGCACACTGAACTTAATTGTAAATAGCATATTTCTTGGCATATTTCAATGGCATATTTCTCATGCTCAACAAACTTAAGATGACCACTGTATCGTCTTGAAAGGTTGAGCTGTGTAGTGCGTAGTGCTTTCGGCTACTCTCAATTGCTAAGACCACTTAGTGGTGTATTTCAGCAAGGAGGATTTACCCACAAACCTCCCCTTTACAACACCTCTGACTGTCACCCAGGTATCGAAGAGGCTATACTTAGAATAAAAAGGCTGGAAGAGCTATCAAGGCTAGTTCTTTATTGAGTAACGAAGAACTGTGATGTTCATGATGACGTCAAGGTTTAAAACTGATTGGAGCACCTTGGCTGATTGCGTTTCTTGCTAAAGAGCATTAAATTTGTAAATGAAATGCCAAGAGTTGTATTCATAAACTCCTTTGAAATTGTCAAATTGATTGTATTTTTAGTAAAATGAGAATAGAATTTTATTCAAGTTATATTTTTCGAGTGGATGTTCCCTTTCTATTTGGAAACGTTAAGCAGTAATGACACCTTTGTTCTCAGCTTAAATATTGTCTCTAAGAAAAGTTTATCTGATTAAACCTTTAACAATACCCTTGTTAATGGTAAGAATTACAGAAGCCATGTAAGTGATAGGATACGTTTCAAAGAATTGAATTAACAGAGAAAAGTTAGAAATTCCTATTTATATACGTGAGTCTATTTGCTTCTATACTTAGGTTCTTATGTACAATTACGAAGGTTAAACCAATGGTAATTTTCTCTCAGTTGAATTGGCTGATTTTACAGACCACAAAGTGGTCTCGAACGACATTCAAAATGATATTGCAGATAGCAACAGAATCTTTTTCGTGCTAATTTTAGCAACATTAGTTTAGCTAATGGCTTTGCACCTAACTAAAGCGTAGTAGGGCCCTGTATACGTGATTTCAAAGAATCAAAGTATTTCAGACACCATGTTTCAATTTAAATATTCTATTTCTTGGACCTAATCCTATTTGCCAAACACCCTGAGTCATGAAAGTCAAAATATTTCAGTCGTTGTCATTACCTAATCAAATATTGTTAAAAGTTTTTAATATATTTAAACTCTTCTGCTATGCAACTGCCTACAATGTTTTAATAGATTTAACCTCTTCTTTTAGTGGTCACCAGAAATCAACTTTCTGATCACTGTGTATCTATGTGTGTATCTAAAAAGTATTTCACGAATTCCTTTTCATCTTTAATTGAATTTGAAAGCGTCGAAAGGAATTACTCTGGTTTCATACGGTCTACAAGTTACTGATAATATACCAGTCAAAGAACTTAATATTTATTTACATTTCTTATTTTCTTTCGAAGATTTGAAATTTCGCATTTAGAATAATAAAGTTGAATTCTACGAATTTTACGTGAGTTTAGCAGATCTAGATGTCAATTTTGCAAATAGCGAAAGTGTTTTCCCCGAAACTTCTATTTCCTTCTGCACTTTTCGTTATGTTGCATTGCGCAACATAAAGAAAAAAATTGCAAAAATTGCATTTTGTCTCAACGATTCTGTCCGGGCTTGAAGAAAAAACAGGCTGTCATCTACCATGGGACAAAATGTACTATAATATGTTCTCTATAATTGGCTCCTAAGTCCCACGCCTGCTTTGTACCATCATCCTCAGCAAAAATTTATCTTAGTGACACCTAAAACGTAATTGGGTAATTTTTGTTTTTTTATGTGTCCCCAACATTAAGTTTTCAATGCAATGAATTCACTGAGAGTATGAAGGAAAGAGATGAGATTCATTTTAATACCTCGTGCTTTTGGTATCAACTCAAGTTATAAGATGCTAAGAAATAACTGCATTTAGATATTGCAACAAGCTCAAAAAGATTGATATAAGCATATTTACAGAATCTTTGACAGAATATACATGAGTTTTGAAAATAAGCAGTACCTCCTTTCAAATAAAAGGGTTTCGAGCTCCTCAAAAGTTAAATTGGTGGAAAATTGAAAAAAAGATTGTTTCAGAGAAGCGAATAGTGGCAAAAATTTTATGTATGGTTGCTGATTGAGTTCCCAATTTTGTTATTTACTGCCAAAGGAAGGTAACCAATCATACCCCCAACGAACTGATGTTAAAAACCATTATAGTAGATTGTGTGGCTTTTTGTTGCAGAAGGGCTGAAATAGTAGAAGCTTCTGACCAAAGTGGTAATGTCTATATTACGAAGGTCCCGCCTACTGGTAGTATTAAGGTGCCTCCTACTTAGCACTGCCCTAAATAGTGGCTCGTTTCACATAGAGGGCTATTAACCAATGACTTCATTGTCAATAGTCCAACAACTTTTTGAGAGAAATTTGGGACACCAAATTTTACCTTCCGTAAGCAAATTTCTTTGGCTGATCTCTCTATTTATCGACAAGGGTGCAATAGTCAGCACGCCTTGCTAAAGCTGGTGGAGATCTGTAACAAGGTTTCGTTAGAGCAGTGTTGATGGAATTATCACCATTATTGTCTTATTCATGAAATCTTACCTGCTAAATTGAATACGTATTTAGTTTATAGGCCATATAAAAGATAACAGGTATGTATCAGTGAGAATCAGCCTTTGCAAGTTAATTGTACATTCTGCTCTTAGAAAGGAATTTATCTAGATGATCCCTAGGAATCATTCCTAAATCCTCTGCTGTTTACCATGATTATCATTGACATATTGAGGCAAAGATACCTCTGTGTCCTCAATATGCCTCAGGCATTAATTTAGCGTGCCTACAGGCACCGACGTGCCTCGTCGACCAAAATATCGGTTTGAATGGCGTGCCTCGACTTTTCATGCAGCTCGAAAACTAAATGTTTCGTGGTTATGATCGCTGATATATTCCATACTGTTGCAGAAACGGCCAAAAAACAACTAAAACATAAGAAGACAACTCTCAAATACATTATTTTTTTATAAGAACATGACCCTCAAATTAGTCAAAATTTAAGAACAAATTAAGAACAAGCTGAGACTGCGCTTCTGCAAAATGCAATTTGGAACAACGTTTTATCTCCAAAATGACGATGTGTGGCTGCTTTTTCGGCGAATATTCAAACTTGTCGGCAAATGAAGGCTGTTTCACTCACTTTGATGGCAAACGAGACCTGAACACCTCCCCAGAGCGAAAAAGCTAGCAATTACACTGCTTACACCCTATTGATATAAGAACAATTTAAGAACAATCCAGCCTCAGATTTTCGAGAGAAAAGAACGGTCAGCCTGAACTAACATATACTGGTTGGTTCTTATAAAAAATAGTGTATACAAACTGCCATTCAGAAGCAAAGTTTCAGTCGAACAACGTGAATAGTTGTAGGGTTACACTGCGATACGCAACATCAGCCTGGGCACAAGTACCAAAGTCTAAAAATAGCTTTTTGTCTGAAGTTGGAGTTGCATCTTGTTCTACTCAGCTCATCAAAATAAGCCAGGAAACAATGATGGTTTAGTATTTCTTACTCAGTTTTGCAAAACCTTTTCGATAAAATCATCAGATTTGACAAATTCGAAGGTCAAAATTTTGCTGACCGTGCATTTTTCACGCTATCTGAAACATTACTTCCGGTCATTTGACAGAATGTACTTAAGACTTAAAATGATCAGTGGCCTTTACTTTCATGACTTAAACTTTAAAAATTTTGGTTAAGCAGTTTGATAGATGGTTATGCAAAATTCCCTGTAGATTATGTAGGGTTATAAGCGAAACTAAGGACTTGTCATCACATTTAGCTTAGCCGTGCTAGTCCAAAACACCCTTAAATTAATCCCTGATGTACCTCTCCTTTATATCTTGCTTTTTCTGTGCCCAAAGCGTTCTTCAATCATTTTTAGGACTATGAATATAACTAGCTAGAACTATGACTAGAAGGGCATATTATCAGCCTAGCAAACATTAGCCTTTCTTGGAGAGAATCAATACATCGTTAGTCTTACAACTGTCTTGCTCTTTTCCCAGGCAAGCTTTGATTTCTATAAAACAAAACATATCAACTTCACGATCTAATTAATATTGGTTCTAGCAATGTTGATAGAAAAAACTGGAAAATGAGGTTGTTGTGAACGATTTCTTTTTTGTACAAAATCGCATTTGAATGTAAGAAGAATCGTTTGGTCCACTGTTATCTACAGTTTTAGCCACAATCAAAATACAAACTGATTTTCATTGGCTGTGGTGCATGCTTCAACGATAGAGAAACAATGCAACGATAGAGAAACGATAGAGAAACAATGCTCATTAATTAGTTTTGTAGTTGATAAAAATGGAGAGCACTGGTCTGATTCCCACAGATTCTGTATCAAATTTAACGATAATTGCGGTCTTGCTGGGGCTCTGAATGTGACAATCCAAATTACAAAAGCTAATTTCAGTATGGCTCTATTTCAACAACTTCAAGATAAAGTGACAATAAACTCAGACAGTGACGTAGTGAGGGGGGCAAGGAGGCGACCGCCCCCCTCCAATGCTAAAAAAGTGGGTGTCTAGGAAAATTCTGCAATAAAACTAGTACCGCAGGGGGGGGGTCGATTTTCCAGAGGTTGCCGCCATTAAATAAAGGTAGCTTCAGCCAGTGCAAACAAACATTGAGTGTCACACCCAAGCACTGCATTATTTATATTTTGTGGAAAGATATTCGTTTAGCTAGAGCTCTTACAAATGTTCAGTTGTCAGGTAATCTTATTTCACTTATTCGAAAAGCAGTAAAGCAGAACTTACAGGTTTCCAATGCCAGAGCTGAACATGGATACATTACGGCTCGTGAACGAACTGTGTCCTTACCATGCATTTAGTCATAAATAAACAACCAGATAAAATCAATTCAAGGATTCAAAATGGTCGAGAATAAAGCCTCGTTTAATATTCCTTGCTTTTGTAATACACTGGGAAGTCAGAGTGCATTTTGAAACGTACCTTTGGGATTTGGAAAGAGCTTAGAGAATTCAGGAAGTTTGATTGTTTCTTTAAAACCGTGCAATTTATTGTTGTATCTCTTTACCGATTATTTGAATTGTATTACAAGCAAAATTCAATACTGTAGGTCAGTGGCGTACACAGGGCTGCGGGAGTGGGGGGGTCTGGGGCGTAGTCCCCAGGAAATTTTTTGGACCACGCCCTTCAAACACTCGCAAATGCGGGGAAACGCCCCTTTTGCAAAATTTTTCCCTATTATTTTATTCATGTTAGCTACGGTAAATAAGCATACAGTCTACTAAACCAATGAGTTTTACATCGTTTTTGGACAAATCTCGAGGACAATGTTTTAGAAAAGTGGGGGGGTCCGGACCCCCCATTCCCCCCTTGGGTACGCCACTGCTGTAGGTCAGGGTTCTTTGCATTCAGGAGCATTGAAATGCAGCGAATACGTAAAGAGAAAAAGATTATCGTCCAATTAACTTTATTTCTGAAGGGAACAAGAAACAAAGAGATGAGCCTTTTCACGAGAAAAGTTTGGTAGAGGGCCGATGGAGAAGACTTTTTGTAAAGGGGGAGGATTAGGTGTTGACGACTTGAAATTGGATTCCAACAGCTTAAAACAAAAACTCTCATTCCTTTGATATTTATCAACGTAGTTATCTCAACCAATTTAGTATCGAGGATGCAAGGAAATGGACAATAAAAAGCGTGTTTCAGTTCCAATGCAAACAAAACAACGGCATAGCGATAATTGTTCATAAAATAATCCTCTGTAATAAATATATGCAATACATCACAGAATTTTTTTTAACTTCGAAACCAAGCAGAAAGTCTATGAGTTAGCAATTTACATTTCTTACACGTTTTTTTAATAATATCTACTTTCTCTTAAGCTACGACGTAATAAAGACATACTGCAGCAAATCGACGAATAAGTATCCTGATTATATGTCCATGCAGATAGAGCGGGAGAGAAAAGAAGAGATTTTATTGCATTCAAAACTCTTTGGGAATCGTTAGAGGGGAGGGCTGGTCAAGCCCCCCGAACCCCCCACCAATTCAAATGCCCTTAGTAGCAGCCTATTACAATTTACAATAGAATTTTGTTTAAAAATCACGGGTAAAAGTTTCTCCTTTGCAGGCAATGTCTTAGATTGCTAAATTCGAGTTATAAAACCATCGTGCCTAATTCTTCTTAGAAGACTTAAAGGTCATTTGTGATTCAGAGCTCAAAGTTATGCAGAGCTCAAAGTTTAATCCAATAATTGCCACGGACAATGAAATATCGAAAGGTTTTTGTAAAAGAAGGAGTAAACAAAAATTGGAGATCTACTGCAGTTGAACGGCACTCCTCCTTGCCACAGAAGACATATGGTTCCCTCAATTTCCACTATTTTCTCAAGTTAAAGAGCTTCTGCATAACATTTTATTTCTATGCATAACATTGCACAAACATATCTAGTAGCTAGAAATTCACAATTCAAAATAAAAATAGAAAAATGAACGACATTGTAAATTGTTTAACTACAGTTCCATTTTTCTTAGCATAGATATGCACTAGAATTAGCTGAAATAACGCTAATGTACTACATCTATATTATTATTTTTTTTCTAGAAAAGAACCTGATTATCTATCCATTCTTTGAATAAACAAGAGATCAAAATAATTCATATCTCGGCCTTTACGATCTTTTTTACAAATCTAACTTAAAACCCATTTCAGCAAGTTTATTCTTTGCTAAGCTCACCTTGAATTCTGGGTGCAATATGTGGAATTTTTAAGAAAAACGACTAGGCCGAAGAGCAATCATTTTTCAACACATAATTCCTCTATCGTGTATGATTTAAATGCAGGGCCGTCGGAAGCGGAAGCTGTAGGGCCCCCCAAAATTGTAAAACTGTATTTTTTTCTCTTAATAACATCAGTGTAAAGAACGAAAAGCAAAACAATGGGCAGCCCCCCCCCCCCCCCCAATATGAATTTCGTTCCGACGGCACTGAAATGTGTCTATCAATTCGATTGATGAAAAATAATACTTTATACAATTGAATGCCTGGGATTCACTTTAAACTTTTAACTATATTCAATTATGTATATGCTATGGTACTAGTTGATGTTCATCGTACATGAAGCACTTCGGATCAAAAATCGGGGGGGGGGGCAACAGCTTCTGATAGATTGATAGTTTGGACTCGAAAGGGAACATCAAATGAGAAAAAGACTCGAGTGCAGGATGAAACAGGCACTTATCTAGCATCATTGTAATGCCAGTCTAGAAGTCCCGTAAATGCGAGAAAATGGATCAAGAATGATAAACCAGAAAATGGCATTGTTCCATGCAATGCATCTCTCCAGCATTATTGATTTGTTGAAAGTGCCATGTCCGTTGAAACAAACTAGCTCGTTGAGTATTTGTTTCAACGGATAGTTTCTTCAATTCAACTCATTCAAGAATAAGGTACCTGTGTAAAAGTTTGCTTTAGGTCCGATTGCGTACGATTGCTCAATTTTTTAACTCGTCGACTTGACCGCCCTAATATGCACTTAAAGGCCTCCGAGCATAACTGTATATTCAACCATTGCCAATATGATTCCTAAATGGGACGCCTGCAATTCTAGTACTTAGGGCACCACAGTTATGAAAAGCCATTTGTATTTTCATCATTAACAGGGCATCCGTAAAGTTCAAGCCTCAAGCAAAGCGTATTGCTCCATTTCAGTGGATTGATTCCGATGTATCTCGCCACTACTGGCTCTGGGAAGACATTCTTCGAGATTGATTCTGCATCGCTATTGCCAGCGAAGATCTAAGAGACAATATTCATATCATAAAAATACATGCGATTGTAGATCACATGCCTATAAAGGAACTGATCTATAAAAAAGACTGGATCGAGCTTCTGATGTGACCAGAGTGTCGCCATCCGAGAAGGGCCCCAGAACAGCCAATCCGAGGAGACGGCCTTCTCTGTCACCCCTTGCAATGTTTTCAGCTGCTCTGGCCTTGTTCTTTTTCAGCAATCATGCACACAGCATTGTAGCTCTCGTGGATCCATGTTGAAGTATTGGTTTTGAGGAATGGCTTCCCGCTATTGTTTTGGGGCCCTCTTTCTTTTGAAATCGAACGGGCTTCAAACTTTGGTATTTCAAGACAATGGAAGCTCGATCCAGTATTTTTTATAGATCAGTGTATAAAGGATAAAAAGCAGCAACAACGATAACAACAACAACAACAACAACAACAGAAGCAACAACAAATACAATAACGTTTATAACTTTTCAAAAAAGTCCAAAAAGTATGCTACAAACGCAGAAAATCAGTTATCGACAAAGGCCGCTGATAATTCCACCTGTATACTTTAAAATTTATAACGCAATGCATATTATGTTTGTAAAAGCCCAGAATCCAACCTTTTTTAAATCAGGACCCAAATAATTCCTTGAAGAAAATGTTACGCAGAAAATTAGTACTTGTCTATCAAATTTATCTTATTCGATGCATTGAATAATTCAGATATTGTGTTTTAACATAGTTATATTGTGTTATACTACATCCTTTCCTTGCATCTCTGAAATATCCTAATGAAGTATCTTTGTAGTATGTTTTCTGGGACAAGTGTGAGCGTGTGTTTTCATAGGCCGTTCCAGATGTCGCAAATTTCCCCGTCAAAGAGAAACGAATTCTATTTAAAAAAATCACATCGAAAAATGTAAACCAGGCTGAAAGGCGCACCAAAGTAGAGCTAACGAACAAATTAGAGTCAAGAATACAGTTTGTCCGCGTATTTTATCAACTGTACGGGCAAACCTAAAGATATTCATTAAGCAAGGTAATTGATACTTTTGTAGGAGAATTCACTGTTTACATGATAACGCAAATATGTGATGTGATTACAAGAGATCAAGATATCACCAGATGACTTACTATTGGCTTTCCATTCACTGCTATTTTATGCCATTTTCCATAACCTTTCCTGTGGTACAGTTGATATTCTTTTACCCAGCTGTTCAAATTTTTGAAGCCTTGGGTTGCAATAGAAACAACGTTCATTTCACGGCCAAGGTCAACCTTTTAAAACGATACGAGAGAATTGATAAAGATTGATAATTTTCGAGATCAGCATTGCTTCAGTAATAGCCTAGGGGAAGTGGTGAAATAATTGGTAGAAAATAACTTTCGATTATGCGTGAAAAGGTGTCTTCTAAAAAAACTACAGAGTTCTCAAGTGTGACCTTATCATATAGTATCTGTTTGTAAAATATTCGATTTTGACTGCATAACCAAAAAGAACACCATGAATTACATCTAAATATGAAAAATATTTCGAAAATCGGGTGGGATATGGCCAATGAAAGATTTGAAGTTTGCCTGACAGACTACTGTCAGTTTGTTTATTAAGTTATGAACAGAGACTAAATAACAGATGTTTGATAGAGAAAGAGCCTGTGTTCATGTGGTCAAATCCTAATATAAACATTGAACAAACATACCCGAAGGTAAGTTCGTATAGGTAAGGAGTTCCTGCCCGCACACCATGCACTGTCGTTTTTCAGTCTTGCGTAGGCTGGGCTATGAGCAACATCCTTCATGGTCGTTGCCAGCAGCTTGTCATCTTCAATGAGACCTTTAGCAAGACCAAGAGGCTCTATTTTGGTGCAGACAGTGGCTACAAGAAAAGAAATCATGAAGGTTGGCACAGGGTTTCGTGGATGGTTTCGAGTGTGACTATTAGACACAATCGTAAGATAATGTAAGAGGACTGCATTTACATTATTTTGAGTGAATTCCGGTCCTTATTGAGCGTCTGCAATATCAAAGTTGCCCTTAGACTTTCTTGTTAAATGTCAATTTGATAACATGTAACAGCTGATCAAGCTTTTCCGTTAGTAAACATTGTTAAACAGTGTCCTTGAGTACAATGGAAAGACTGTAAAGAGCAAAGTAAAACTGGTGTTATCTTCCCATTAACGCTTTTAGATAAAGTCAACACAGACTCTTTATCTAATCACTTCTAACAATAAAGCAAACCACTTAAAGAAATAAAGATAAATTACAACCAGAAAAGAAAGATCACAGTAACTTTACACTGCGATACCTTGGCATGGTGTGATCTCGTTTCTATTGCTCACATTTCAACGGGTAAGACTGCGGTAAGTTAAGCCATTTGCATACTAAAGGTGACATATACCCCATGCTCTTGCAAGTTCCACCACGCCTTTCGTTATCTAGAAACTATTCCTTCAACAAATTGCGTTGTTCCATCAACAATAATATAACATTCTATTTTTCCATATGCTTTTGAACCGAAAAAACGACCCCGCGGACATATGCCATAATTTTCTAATACAATCTTGGTATGACTGAACTGCCGTTAAGAAAACTGAAATCAATTCTACATTTCACTTTATAGAATCGACCAATCTACAAACTGATTTGTGGTTGATTGGTTTTCAGGTAGCAGAAATGCTGTTCAGAAGTGCTCGTACCAAAAGCAGTTTAGAAGAATTCGTACCCTGCTCTAACAACCTTAGCAAAGCCAAAAAATTTTAGCGGTATGAAAAGCTATTAAATAATCGGTTCTCTTGTGATAAGTGTTGCCACAGGAAACCTAAACGCTAACCTTTTTGGCATGCCCCGTTTGCAATCTTGATATCGTCAATAGCAATGTCACTCAAATAGCTCCCTGGATGAGTTGCTTCCAATATCATCTATAAAGAAAAGAGCAATCTTAGAAACAAGCAAGAAAATGCGTCGCTTACGTCATATTCTTGTGAGAGTAGATGAACTGTATATTTATTCAGAGGGGAAGGGTGCGATACTGCTTTTGAATTGAATGTTCTTGAAGACACGCCTTACTGGAGGGTGTATCTTTTTGAAATGTCAACCCTGTTGGTGCTCATCGCAAAGAGAATGTCATCAAAGATGGAATTGTCTAGTTACCTTAAAAGGCCTTTCGTTTCCTACTGTCAATTTCAATTGCTTCCACTTGTCACCCCGGTTCCCCTTTATTTGCCAAAGAGTTTTTTCGCCTCTTACAGAGTTATCTTTCTTTAACAAGCGTAATGTCCCAATAGTCGCTCCATGCAGATTGTACCAAACTGTTAAGCACCTCTTGTCATTGCCAGGTTCTGGATAGATTGTAGGGCTTATGAATCGTGCCTTCATGCCCCTTCTTGCAGGATACGATGCCTCGGTGTAAAGATAGTGGCCTAAAAGTAAAATATTGCTTCCTGATGATCAATGATAATTCTGAAGTTTTATTACAGTAAGGAGTTACGCATGGCTAGTGCTACGTTTTGAGAACGTAAAATGCTTAAATGTGGTTGAGAAAAAAAAGAACATATTTTAATAAGAAGAGGGGAAGTAGAGAAAGAAGAATAACAAGAAGCGGTAAAAGAGAAATTCTGTGAAAGTGAAATTGAGAAGTAAAAGAAGGAGTCAAAGAGGAAAAAATCGAGGAAGAAGATGAAAAGGAAGAACATGTCAAGGAAGTAGAAAGACGCGACGAAGGAGGGAAAACGAAAAATCGAAGAATAAGAAGTAGAGGATAAAGTATTGGAGGAAGATAACGTAGAAAAAGAAGAGGTCGAGAAAGAAGGAGAAATCAAGCGAGTAAAAGAAGAAAAGAAGGAAGAAGCAGAAGTTGAAGAAGAAGGAATCAAAGAAAAAAGGAGATATAGTAGAGAAGAAAAGTAAGTAAAGGAAAAAAAGGAAGGAGAAGGAGATGAAGTAAAGGAAGAGAAGTAAAGGAGAAGAGAAAGAGTAGTAGAGGAAAAGTAAAGAAAGAGCACGAGGTCAAAAAAAGATGAAGTAGAGAAAAAAAAAAGAAATAGAAAACGAAGAAGAAGCCAAATAATAAAAAGTTGAGAAAGAAGACGAAATAGAAGAGGAAAAAGAAGGGGTAGCAGAGGGAAAAGTCGCAGAGAAAAAAGTAGATGAGGAAAAAGAAGTCAGGGAAAATGAAAAAGTAGGAGAATAAGACAAAAGACAAGAGGAAGAAGAAGAAAAGAAGAAAAGGAGGAAGAAAAGATAAAAGGAAAAAATTAGAGATTTAAGGAAAGAAAGAAGAGGAAGAAAAAAGACAAAGAAGAATAAAAGACAAGATATCGAGGAAGAAAAAAAGGATGTAGAACACGAAGATGAAGATGGGGAAGATGCAGGAAGATAATATTTGAATAGCAGAATAGCCAAGATTACTGCACTGGTATGTAACGCTCCTATCAATAAGAGTAGTATTAAAATCCGAATCCATTTTTGCTTTTATTGGGTGACGATATAATGATTATAACTGATTCTGAATACAACAACGTGTCCAACCTTTGTTCACTGGCGCTCACATAAACGAGAACCACCTCTTACCTTTCCCAGATGTATGATCGCCACTTGGCCCAGTGCTCCTTGATGGAGTTTCGCCCACTCGTCGCTGCCATTGAAAATAGTAGCTACCTGACTCATTAATCCAGCTACAAATACCATTTTCAAAGTCGCAGTCATATGGACCTAAAAGGAGCAAGCTGATCATTTAAAACGTTGCAATTTTTCGTCACGCTTAGTCATCTTACCGCTGTCAAGCCTTGCCACTTTTAACAGCATTAAGGTTGATGACTCTTTTTTCCCCATGCGAGCACAAAGTTAAAAACAACTGATAGTAGCCACCAAACTTGAATGAAGTAACCGAAGTGGAAGCTCACAATAAACGTTCATAAGCTGTATGATTGCGGTTGTTGGTACATCTAAAACTGCATGGGTATATTCTAACCTCAGGAGTGCTAAACACAAAGCAGATCCTCTGTTCTCTGGTCCCCGCTATTCCCCGACCATCAAATTGTCAGTGCAAAACCAACTTTATGTAAAATTAGTAAATTGCTTAAAAAACCTACCAAGGTCACATCTGGTATGCCTTTTACACAAGGCCAAGTCTTCAATTGGTCCTTGGCAATCTTTACCGCCAAATTTCGGGGCTGGATCAGTACAGCGTCGTCTCCTCGTTCTCACACCACGTCCACACGTAGAAGAACAAGATGACCAGGATGACCATCGCCCCCAGTGACCATCAATTGGTGCTACCAGGACAGAATATAAATGTTTTGATTTTCTGCTTGTAAAATTATACACAACTTTAATTCTAACTCTTTATGAACAATCTATCACTGGGATGAAAATTAAGAATCCTAAATTGTAAACTGAACATTGATTTTTAACGTTAAGCAAAAGTGGTAAGAAATTACTATATCTGATCTATACGAGGTCGGCCTCGATTCTGCAAATGCCGACCAATTGCGTGAACTAAAAAGCTATAAAATCTTGTGCCCAAATTGCGGTTGACAGGTGAAAAAGTTCACCGTTTTCAATTCGAGGTCTGTGCTAGCATTGTAAAATTAGTTAACTCAACCACCATAACTTCTTTTAAATGAAAGACACACTTAAGATATCGCAAAAAGATGGGGTGTCGAAAGGATAGTACCTAAACTGAATGTTTTATCATCAAGTGAACTAACTAAACTCCACATTTGAAAATTTGGTAAAACGTCACGACAATAAAACGTCATGACTTAAAATTTTAGAATAACAATAGCTTTTTAAAATGATATCAGCACTTCTATAGTCTCTTAAGTCTAACTTCTATAAGAAACATAAGTTGGCTGATCATTTTCAAGATAACACCAACCCAAACATTCTGCTATTGTGCAAAGATTCATCTCTGTCTCCACTCCATGCTTGTTGGCCCGTTTGCATTTGCTAAGGTTTGTTGATTTACAAAATCTTTGACGCTTTTTACGACATCCACCATCACAAGAAGACCATTGCGACCAGTTGCTCATGTAGTTCATTTTTTTCTTTCCTTTTGTCAGTTCTAGTCAGAATAAGAAACACTTTCACATTGAAATTTTGAAGAAATTGGTTTATTTGTAAGCAGATAAAAAAATATTGTTACTGTTGTATATCATCTACAAATAAGTGTTATTTCATATTGCTTTTTTATTTGTTGTAATGGCCTTGTTTGATTATCTGAATAGGTTTGTGTGAATTGAACTGTAAGAGCTAACGACTGAACAAAGAGTTTGTTTTCTTCTTATCTCTTACTCTTCAGTTACATATTGGGTGTCAGACAAAAACAAAACTTAAGGACCAATGCAGGTTTAAAGCATGCTCTTTGAAATTTGGGGTACTTACCTCATTGCCCCCTAGTTTCTACAGATTTAGAAAAAATTACAAATTTTCAAAGCAAGACTCACTTGCACAGTCATACAGAGCATTTAATTTAACCACATCCAAATCACTGAGGCCTTTCGTGTTGCCCAGGCTTATCGACTGATCTTCAATTGCCTTTAAAGTGTGCTTGTAATTCTTAGAGAAGGCATCATTCCCATAATGCATAATGCTCTTTAAATCGTACTGTATCCCTAGTGTGTCGACTTCGTGATTATCAAATTTTTCAAAGTTAATTTCATTAACTGCAAAATGAAAGGAAAATAATGGTTAAAGATGAGCAGCTGTATTCAAAATGGTGAAAATGATAAATATCATTCCTAGCTCATATGTGTTATAAATAAGAAAGATAATTTTGAAACAAGGCAATTATTCACAGAGTTTTCACGAAATGCTTTTGGGTTCTTTTCTAAAGTTACTTTCTTCCCTTTCTCAAATGTCTTCCAGACATATTTCCAAGAGCTGTTTTTCTTATACTCGTTAATTTTGATGTTGCAAATGAAGTTTTCTAGAGGTTGGTGTTTCTTAACTTGAGGAATTCAGCTACAGCTACAGCAGTTGAATTGCCCACATAAAACACATTGATAATCGAAATAATAATGATAATAATGATACAATGACGTCAAATGGCAAGATACTCGACATCGTTGCTCGACAAGGTTGCGATAACAAATCAAGCTCAATCCATCAAATTGTTTATATGTTCATATAATTATTTAGTTCATATGAAGCCTATATAACTGCTACAACAAAACGTTTCATATTTGATTAAGAAATCCAATTTCACCTTTGCTTTCCATCTTTCAAAGCCTTAGTTTTGTTTTTACTCTGTCTAATAACTATTCACGAGAGTCGTATCAGCAGGTTCGGTTAATTAAATGATTTCAGAAAGAGTTGAAAACGTGCTCTGCCAAGGCGTTATATTTATTTGCTGAAGTTAAAACCACCATATGGTTTTTGCTTATTCTCCTATCGCCACAAGGCAATCTAATTAAAAATTTATACAGTCAAAAACATTTAGTTAACAAGATCTGTATAATTTTGACAGCTACACTGATGTCATTATGTTTCATCATTTGAAAATGATCCAAACCGTTTTTTATTAAATACACTACACAGCCACAACAAGACTTTGCATTTCCTCAAAACAATTTCGGTCATTCAAGATGAGATTGTACGTAGAACGATTTAGTATCCTGTTTACTAGATATTAACTCAGGATTTATAATCTATGCGGTTCAAGAGCTTGATTTAGCTGTTAAATTTTACCAAATTTAGTCGTAGATCCCTATCATTGCCTAGAGAATCGGCAAAGTTTTCTATTGTTAACTTTGAGGTTTTGGAAAATTTCCAACCTTTTTGACTATAATGGTGTTTGTCAGTATTCTTGCGCCTTGCGATATGTAGTCTTGCACAGATAACAAAATATTTATCAGCTAATGTTATTCACTGGTTTTTCAGTGTTCCTTTTCACACAGACTTTCATAAAGGCTAATAAATGAAGAGATACTTGGTGTTTCTATGGTCTGATCAAATCAATATGTTCTAGAGTTTCATAAGCCGCATCAATGTACGAACAAAGTGTACTCTTTTTTCGTACACAAAACGGCTTCTGTCCTGTTATTCGATAGACCTTTGCTCAAAGGTTAAGGCTTAGAGAGTATATCATGAGCAAGGCTGTATTCAAACTTATACCTGTGTCTTAGGAGTAGAAGGCATAGGCATATCCTCCTTAAAAAGGAATACGTGGTGGGGCTTGTAAGCTTTTAGTTAAAAGAAAGGATGAGGGAAATGCTACTATACGAAATCGAAAAGATGAAAAAGAACCAACAGTTGTTTTGGTAGACAATGTTGTGAGGTCATACGAGGCTGAAAAAGAGTAGAAGAGAGGTAGGTCCATAAGGCTGCGGCTGCAAGAATAAAAACCCCACGAATAATAGGAAGGAAAGTATACAATGAAACTACCTAGACTAAATGTATCGAGAAAAAACGGAAATGCTGATTTCACTGACCTGGGTCTATATTTTCCCAAAAAATTTCTATGTATTTGTCTCTATCAGGCCTCGAGTGTTCATGCCAGAAACCAAGTGCATGCATAATTTCGTGAAGAATGGTCCCCTAAAAAGCATTTATGGTGTCTTTAAGATGACATAATGCACAGATTTTAATAAAACTAAAATGATTTACAACTTTCTTCAGTCTTACATTGGATGATAAAATTGCAATTTTGATTATGCATGAAATATACATGCTTACCTTTTCTAAACATGGCATATCTAAAATTATTGTTTGTGCACCCATCCTCCAATATGATTTACCAACACTTGAAGAGCATCTGAAAACATTAAAACGGTCTCAAAACTTTTCAAAACATTTCGAAGGTGCACTATCATCATGTATTACAAACCAAATGGCGAATACATCGCGATAAACCGAAATTTCATCCGAGGAAATGTTACGGTAGAAAATTGAGCACAAAAGATCTTCATAACTATGATAAAAAAAAGCTAGCAATATTTAAGAGGAAGAAAAGTACAAAATTAGGTTTTCAGTTTTATTAAAAAAAAGTTTAGTGTTTGAGCTTGGGGGCTTGGTTTGGTTATGAGTTAAAAAGGGGACTGAGTGTTTGAGGCAAAAGGGGGTTATTGTTTTACCCAGTGCCCTTTTTGATCACTGCCATAAGAACAAAATATTCAGCTTTAGGCCCAACCAATCGAAATCAGCCGTTTTGAAAAGCGTGGAAACAAAGAATATCTCATAGCGGTACCTACCCTTCTCCCATCTCAAATCTAATCCAATTTTCATCGCTGGATTTCCTTTTTACAAATTCTAAACAGGATTTACTCTCTATCTCCTCAATCGCGTCACGAATAAGATGTGCTTCATCTCCTGCAACAAAAGATGTAATAGAGTTTGGGAAAATTTGTTTTATGCTCCAAGGTTCTATGGTGAAGACAAATCGTCCCATACTCGATGCCAATAACAGGTCTGTCATACCAGGGAGTGCAGAAAAATTATTAAATATTCACTGGTTTATTGGGAGATGCTATCTCTCAGGAAAATTAGTTCTTCCTTGCTTAAACAGTTTTAAAAATGTTGGTAGTAGTGAGTATTGTTTGGTTCTTTCAAACAATTTGCGAGCAGGGTTAGTTTTTTCTCGGGTTACCGTACACTCTTTTTTAATAAGGACAATTTTATAAGAACAAATGAAGGTTGTCTCACTCACTTTGTTGGCAAAATGAGTCCTGACTACTTCCCTAGAAGTGTGTATGCGATTAGATTAAATTGTCAACTCTACTTAAAACTGTTTTCTAGTGTGTTTAATATCACAAACCTGTGGCTTCTCAACTAAAACCACTAGTATCTCATTTAATGAGCTGGATAACAACTCCAGGCATAAGATCTTTAGCAAATTGAGTGTAATGGTAAAGCAAATTTCGGTCATATCTAAATTAAGAATCTGAACCACTAGCCAAATGCCTTGCTGGATATACCTTAGCAGCTTGAATTTGCAAGATAAAAATTATCAAAGAAAAGGCAGGTTTAATAAAGCGCAGGAAGTGGAGTAAGACAGATTCAAAGATGAAAGACAGTTCAAAAACTGTAAAAAATTCATTCTGATTTGATTGATGCCGGAGAGTTTACAAACCAGCCCTAAAACATTAGATTTGAAACTCAAAACACTTCATCGAGCTTTAGATTGCTTACACTAGTGCCTGGCAGTTGTCTATGGTCTTTTTTATCAACCCCTATCATTTGGAATCTCCAAGCTTTTTTAAACCTTTCCAATAGTTGGAGTTGATAACACCGCCTACTTTGCCAAAAGACTTACATTTGACACCTTATTATCGCAGTCCTTTCTTTGCAATTTTCTATCAAATCTGATCGAGGTTAACCATAAAGTATTTCTCCATTAGCATTGCTCCTCATGCTTTCAGGATGAGTCAGCCCAACCCCCTTTTGAATAACCTTTGTAGGCACTATTACCAAACCTCAAAGAAGAGGGCAAGAGAAAACAAAACAGTCATAACAGCTACTTACTTAAACGATATGATATTTCGTATGGCACTATTCCTGTTCTCCAAAGGAATTCTCGTCTTTGCCTCACGTTCCTCCTTTTTCGAACTGGAATCCTACCATCGCCAGTTTCCATTTGCTCTGTCAAGCTATTGAGCTGCACTGAAAGTTAAAGAATAAATGGAGTGAAAACTTACACAAGTATCTGAATTATTGATAATTGATATAAACGATATGATTATTGAAAACATGTAGGGATACAAAACCATTGAATTGAATTCTAAGGTGTATGAACCAAATAAGAATAAAAAGGCTGCCTACGTCACAGCTATTTATGAGAACATTTTCGCAGACTTTCGAAGATTTCTCATCTCGGGGAAAATTTGAGATAAGCATTTCTCTTAGATGTCTTTTGAGAAAACGTTTACTGCAATCTTTTGAGATGTTTTTGCCTCGATAACAGGTCAAATAACAAGTTCATAGCTTCACCAGATTTTGTTATTTTGTTTTGCAGACATCTGTGGGACCAACTCCCTGTTGTTGAAGGCCTTTACATTTTGTGGTCTGTTCCTCAAAACTATAGCCTGGCTTCTTCCAAGAACTTTTCGAAGGGCAATAAGCTGCTTGGACAAGCCTTTCTTTATATAAAAGGGAGGAAAATACTTTATTCGTTTATGATAATGATGGTCACTTGATGCGAGAATTGTGCAGTTATTTGAGGCGCTGACTACAGACCAAAGGGTCTGTGGTTCGTGTCCCTGACAGGACCAAACTTTCACCCAGAGTGGCGAAAGTCGCCAGCTCTCTGTGATTTCAGGAGTAGGAATCACGGGGTGTGGTCAAACCGAGAGGAAGGACCAGGACACTGCTCGATAAGCATAAGCTTCTCAGTGTCCTAAAAACTACCTTCGGATGCTAAGTAGAAACAAAAACAAAAAAAGGTCACTGATAATGCAGGTGCACATGCCTCCTAGTTAGTGTGCTAAAAGGGCCCCGGTTCCTTTCGCCAACAGAACTTGTATGTTTTAAAGGTTTGTGTTCGGAACGTTGTTCTTAATATATAGGCTTCAAAATTGCATTTTGGTTGTGAAGGAGGGAAAGAGATCAAAACGTCTGGGGGTCAGGCATGATTTCGATCAACAAGCTCGTCTTGAGTGCCGGCGGCTGAAAGCAATGAAGCTAAGTGACAATGTAAAATTACTCCCTTGTCAAGTTCTTACGATGAATTTGATTCAAACTTGTGTAGATTAGCGGTCACTTCATCCTACAGCCGCACATCAGTGGTTTGTGAAATTCGTTTCTATAAATTCAAATTTAATTATGCGAGATTTTTTTCTACAAAATCAATCCAATTAATTATGAGTGATAAGAGAAGATATGTTTAGGAAAGTCTGCGCCTATATTTCCTCGCCCAATATGTCTCTTACATCAGACACACGAGTATCTGGGTCTACCATGATTCAGTAGCCAATGACTCAAAGACGTTATACTAATGCTATCCAAAAAACCGATCCAAATCTTCATACGATATATTTGCCACCTGAACCCATAGTTTTACATACATATGGACTTGCTACTGTTGAGAAAAAGCTTCTTCTACCTAGAACAGTATTCCCACTGCACAAAAGAAAATCGAGCCCATGACGGAAACTTGTCGAACTCCATAGACCATTTTAAACGGTAGCTTGTAGCATGTCGTATATCCAACTAAATTCTTCTATAATGGCCCCGATAATTACAAAATGCTACTATGCTTGTTGAAGATGTAAAAGGAAGCACCAAACAATTTAAATTCATATTCTTTATTTCGGAGACAGGATTGTCTTTCAACTTAATGATAATGTGTTCCTATCCATGCCATCATAATGCCATTGGCACAACGCTTCAAAAGCATCGCTGCATGCATTTTTATCGTAATCGGTCAAAGGTATTTAAACACCATAAAATCTGAACAAAACACGAGGCCGAACAATGTTCGGCACACAAAACCTGATAATGTGTTAACTTAAACATCAAGTATGGAAAATGGGCAGTGAACGATAAAGAATGCTAGAACCAAAATAATTTTAGTCGCCTCTTTAAATGTATATTTAACTGTTTTTGAAAAATGTATTCAAATTTTTGGCTCATTGGTTGGGGGGGGGATGAACAGATTTCTGGGCACTGCTTCGCGAACTCGTATCGTAGTAAGCCAAACGAAGCAGTAGGACATTTAAGTTGCTTAGAAAGGTCAAAACAAAGCATCGTTTATCTCTGCTGCCTTGGGGAAGGAACGGCTTGCTGGGATAGAATGGAGAATCCGCTCAATGAATTAGTATCGGATGTCGTGGACTAGTCATATACCCAGCAATACATATCCTCAGTATAATGGATTAAAGAGAAACCTCTTAGCAATCCAATTCAACATAAAACTTCCGACTTGAGCAAGGCAACCCAATTTGAATGATTGTGTTGTAGCGAGACAATCTGCTGACAAACCCTAGCTTGGTTTCCTGGCGTCCCCTGCGTCCGCAGTACATACAGAAAAGGCTTTCAGCATCGAGGAAAACAATGAAGAAAGATAGAACATTCAGTAATAAACATATTTTTCGATAGACCAAGAGCAACGCCTGGTTCTAACACCAAAGTAGTCTAAATTTTTATGCAAATTAGATGAAGCAAGTTAGCTTTCTTGGAGCATTATCAGGAGTAATTACTAAAATTCATTAAATGGAAAACTTAAATGGAAAAAAACAGAAAGTTCTTAATGTTTGATTACCAGGTCAAAATTGCTTAACCAATTAAGCAAGGGCAACTGGCTCGAAAGCTCTCTTTGAGAAATTTTCAGGTGTTTTTAAGCAACAGTATAATTCTTCGAAAACATTTGATTAAAGACAATCTGTCTCGTTGTGGATTGGTTAACGAGAACAATAGCTGGAACAATAGCCTAAACACAATTCCATATTTTTTACAATGCGATAAATTAAAGGGGGACTGGAAACAATACAAAATCCCTTTGTTCTTATAATCAATCAACGTCGTGACAGATTGCATTTAATTTAGCATACTAAGTTTGTAACATTTTTATAATTTATGCTAGCAAGTTATTAAATTTGTAACATTCTAGTAACTTTCACCTTTAAGTGTCATGGGCTTAGTATGCCGAAGCCTCAGCGAATAAAACAATTCCAAATAGATCTAAAAATAGCCAGCAAGTCATATGATCTAATCCTAAGTCATTGCGGTTTTATTGATACTTGTAGCCTAAAAAGCATTATGGATGGAACTTGTGTACCTTCATTGAAATTCGCAATCCGCGTATTGACGGATATATCATCAGTCTTATGAACAATGAAAAAATCAATGGACATGTCCTCTATATAAACCTTTTTAAGTGAGACAAAGGAAAAAGCGTATATACTTTTTTGAAACATGTAAGTAGGGCGAATAAGCTTATAATTGAATTATGTTTTCTTGAAGTCATTTTGGAACATACATGAAATGATCCCCATCACTTGGTGTCCGCTGTTTTGTGATTCTTTGCCTGGTCTCTTTAAGGTACCTATCAAAATTTGTCTAAAATATCTCCACTGAATTCATGGTTTTAATTTAAGTTTAAAAGTGTAGCTAGGGGAGGGGGGGTTCACTTTGGGAATTGGAGGGTTCACTTTTAGGATTGAGGGGGTTACTTTTAGGATTGGGAGGTTCACTTAGGAAAGATGTGATGGTATTGATACTTCATGAAAATAACTGTCATTTTCCCTATAGAAACTTATCACCTTATACTTAACTAGAGCTTTGTAGTACAGATTTAGGAGGCCTTATGAGCTTTAAAGCAAGTCAAATAATCACGGGCTGCACAGCAAACAGTGCAAGATTAAGCCTAAATCGAGCCTGGTACTACAGCATAAAAAGGCCCATTATTGGGACTATTTAGCTTCGGGGAACTTCTCGTTTGCTTTCGTCCGGACTTATTTCGGAAAACCTAATCCTGTAGCATCAATAGTACCCACCACAATCCAGTCCTGACTGGAAACGCAGAAAGGATTCCAGGCCTCTTCCACTTACAAGTTAACACGCTAAGTTAACACAAACTTCCTGTACAAAACACCTTATAACTTTTTTCTATATATGTGTATACTATGCAGATTTCAAAGCTTTTGAGACCCAAGGTACACGATGATACAGTTGGAGATGGTACTGAAGTCTAAGTATACGGTAAATCGTTAATGGACCTTTAAGCCCCAGCATGCTTTGCTGTTGCCGTGGTCAAGATGCAAGCGGTACTATAACAATTTGACACTCATCCTTCATCATAGAGGGATCTCTATGTGCACCATTCACTTGTTCATTCATCTTTTGAATACAAGGTGACCCCATAGATCAAATATCTGAATTTCAATGGAGTTGGGGGCTAGACAAAAAATGCATCGGTTTGGTTGTAATTAGCTAGCAGTTGCTAAGACATAACACAGATTGATAGTTCAAAGGAAGCCATCACTTCAAAAACAAATGACGTATACATTCTGCAACATTTCGAAATTCTTGAAATCAAATTAATTGCTAACGTCAGTACAGGGGGCCGGCGAAACGTATTTGAAAGTGGAGGGCCAAAATATCAAAGTCTTGAAAGGGCTTAGGAAAGGCCGCCACCATGGTTGGTGGCAAGAAAAAATTCAGAATCGTTGTGTCTTAGGGATGGCCAGAAACTGTATTTGAAACGAATTTTAACTGAAGGTGTCACATAGTCGCGTCTGTTGTGATGTTGACTTGAAATGGAAAAGTTTTGCAAAGTTTTAGAATAACTTGGCTCGTAATGAACCCTTTTTGGTAGATTTTGAAAGTACCCGAAATAAAATGGGGGAGACAAATAAATGAAACATGGATTAATGAAAACATTAACGTTGAAATATCAATAGAAGAACTATCAGCTAAAACTAAAAAGTTAAGCAACTTTGTACAGTTAAGACATAACTTTGACATAACACATTTAAGAGAATACTAGGCAAAGTTACTTGCAGAATCATAAACTACATTTATTTTCACTTTTGCCTAAAGTTTTTCTTTAGCTCTGCAGAAAAGTGGGGAGGCCAGGGCCCCTGGCCTCCCACGGTTTCGCCGGCCCTGCAGTATCTCTTTATAGACGGGTAAAAAGTAAGATGGATGTTGATAAACAGAAGCTCCACCCTACATTTGTCTTATTAAGGCCATTTGAAAACGCCAAATACTTTTAGGTTTTATCTCTAAGATATCCCTTTAATAAAACTAACTTTCTCATACCGACTCAATAAGATATTAAAGTTCATTGATTAAATTTTGCTACAGCTGAAGTTACACTTCACAAAGATGAGAGCTTAGAGCTTGACCTCGTTTACGTGGCTTTTGTAGTCATTGGTTTTCAAGGCAAAGACCTCGATAAAAATCAGTAGGCTTGTCTTGATTCTAGTTTTAGTCCCAAGATAAGGCAGCTTAAAAGCCAAGCTGGTATAATATTCGCATTAATTTGAAAGGAATGAGCCTGGGGAAAAGTTGAATTTTATTAGCATTGTTTTGCAGGTTCACTGGGAGGGGGCAATGAGGCCAGTGCCCCGGGGAATAATGCAAAGAAGAGGCTCATACGAATACAAAAAAAACTGTCCTGTGTTACTTTTAACTGAAATCGATAATTTTCAAGCCTTCCCTATTTCAAAAATGATAGAAAGGCAATCCTCAATTTTCTCCTAATAATAAGAGCTCATGCAACCATATTATAATTTGGCCGGGTACGTTCGCCACTTCTTTGTTTCTTTCTCTTTTCATGTTGCCTCAACATTCAATATGGTTAACAGTTGCCTTTGGGTCCGGAAAAAGTAATTTATCATTATTTCAGGAAATCGTAAATGAGATCCTTCGGGGCTTTTCCAAACTGGCAACCATACTTAATAGCAGATTTGCTTGCTACAACCATTCTGAAGAACATGATAATAATCGGAGCTTCAAGGAGGATTGCGTTGGATTCAACGTTAATCACGGGGACTAGCCTGGGGTGGCTGTCCCGCCCTGCCCTCGCAAAATGAAGATGTATTGTTAGTGTTTTGGTCATTTATCTTGCAATCTTTATATGTTTTCACAGGTTTCTGTCGCTTAACCCAGGAGACGTTGATAAATGTGCTTCATTGATTACAAAAAATAAGTATAATTCCAATGTGCCGTAAAAAAGAGCCAAACGTCTAAATATGTGCCGTAAAAAAGAGCCAAACGTCTAGATATAAGGCGCAGCAGCCCTCTGTCCCCCCGTTGAAGTATTTTTGGGCCATAGCTTTTTATATGGGAAATCACCACAAGGGCTGGAGGGTCTATTGCCCTGGTGGGGCAATTGTTGAGAAAGGTTCTGGTTTTGATCTATATAAAAAAGCAGGGTAAAAACTACAAGGAAAAAAATTTGCATCAGCTCCATGGGGGGTTTCAGTATGGGCTTCCTCTTAGCTCTACCTTATTTTTACTGTATTCCTTTTGTGCTTGTACGTTGCCTGTGAAAAATAGATTTAATTCTTATTTGCTATGAAGAAATGTTTCCCAGTTGCTGATATTTTGCAAGTGTAGAAGACTTAGGATGCGTTTCTGTTCGTCCCACTCGCAGTTCTAATAGAGACGCAGTTATTTCCTCCAGAGTTTAAATTTACTCTTTGCAAAGGATTATGCGTTGATCCATCTCGGATCAAGCGTGTGGATTTTTGGATTAAAGCGCACAAGTTCTAACAACCTACTTTGTGTACGAATGATGAATCGAAATTGCCAACATCAGCCACAGTGGGTTCTCTAATCACAAATAAAATGGCTGCCAACTAAAACGATTTTCCTAAGCAACTTGATAGGATTATGAGAGCAATGCTTTGCTCATCAAGGTCATATCTTTTAATCGATTTCTGGAATAAACAATCAACTAATAAAGAACTAACTCCTTTAATTATTAAACAATATGTAAATGGTTTTCTAAGTAACATAAAATCTCCATGGAAATTGGCATTCGCTGAAATTTCATCACAATAATCATATTCATAGACCAAGTTGCCAAGGAAAAGATTAGAAGCTTTTAGTAAAACACATTTCTCTTCATTCAGGCATTGACCTAAAATGACTGGTATCAGTGGAACTCAAAACACCGTAAAACATCTTTGAATTGAAAATCGACCTTTTAAAGGCAGGCAGGAAATAATCTGTTATCTTCTGCGCTGCATAGCAACTCGTGTTTTTCCGTAAGCGAAGCAATTCCTGGACAAGAGGCACAATTGAATCGACGATTATTTGACAAAAAAAGCGGGAAGGCCTGAGACATTTGACCCAGTGGCGTCGCCGGCCCAAAAAACTGGGCGAGCAAAAATATTCATCGGCCACGCCCTCCAGACGTAGAAAACGGAAAACGTGGGAGATGCCCTTTTAAGTTTTTTTATGAACTATTTCGAAATATTTGGAAAAGTAATTTTCTCAAGCATCATTTTACGCAACGGGAGCTTTCTTGCAAGAACAAAATCGAAATCGATCTCATCAACATCACCAATTGTTTAGGATACGAGCGAGTTGATCGAGCACCGGTTTGCCGAACAAGCTCGAACTGTAGCGATTTGAAAAAAATTAGCAAAATCCGAGTTTAACGGTTAAACTTCTAATTGTTTCAATAGAATTTTTTCCGATAAGTTCTCTATGCTAACTATGATTTTCAAAACATCCTTACCTTTACATAAAGAATTATTTTATATACTTTTTTACACGGTAAATATTTATGATCCTTTCTTCCTTCGCATTACTGTTACACCCGAGCTGTTATACCCCTCCTTCGGGGACTTTGTCATTATTTTTTTATTATGTCGAGTTCTGTTTTATTGGAATCCCGATTCAACAGATTTTCATTTTTACAACATTCTTCTGTCCAACAGGTCTTTCTAAAGAAAATGATCGAGCCAAAAAATATCGCAGTTGCTTCGTAAAATTTTGTTGAAAGCTGACCAAAGATTTGATTAAATCGAAAATGTTAATTGAATGACTGGATTAATTCCCTTACCCTTTATTCCCCATCCCCATCTTCTCATGAAAACCCACAGCCAAAGTTCGCGCGAAACCCTCACGTAGGCACTAGTTTGGTTCTCCAGACAACGAACATAATGAAAACACCAATACAATGTTAAAGGACAACTGATCTCATCCTTGACCCCCTGTTCCTTTTTTAGACATAGAAGTTCAATGACAAGCAAATTGCCTTAACGCTAATCTTTAAGAAATTTCGCCCAGTCAATCCAGACTTTTCCTTAATACACGGATGATATCCATTAACCGTTTCAAAATTCTAAAAGCCGGGACAAAAAAAGTTAAAGTACAATAAAAAGCTAGCATTGTACATGTATTAACTTGACGATGCCTCTTCCGAATTCAAAAAAAATGTATACAATAGTTTTCAACCAATGATTTTATTGAAGACAAACACAATTTGTTATCGCCCCATAACACAATTTGATATCCATCAACGATATAGACGGAAACGTTTAGGCAGCTAGCCAGGATGAGGATGTGAAATATGTTCGCAATCTTTCCTTGACGCCAGCTCTAGTCCCGTCGTGCATAATAGGATACGGGTATATAAAAAACGAACAAATAAATCAAATGTTGTTTTCCAACTCGACCGAAAAGCAGTTGCTGTTTCTATTAGAAAATGGCACACGAGTGTTCGTTTGAACACACAAGTTAACATCAATTAAGAGACGTTAACGATTTGTATGGCTTTTACCCGTGTTTTGGTTACGCCATAGTCTTTCGAGCAATATATTGTTCGAACCACTGAGACCAGCATCTGAAAAATCTTACAAATTCAAACAACAAGGAACAATGAAAACACTTACTCTTGCTGACTTCATCGCGATTTGTTTGTGTCGACAGGATAGTTCGTCCTGATATATTAAAAACACCAGTGAAGAAGATTAGAGCAATTTTAGCTAAATTGAAAACCATCGTAATCTTCTTCCCTATACTCAACTTCTATCAACTGTGCGGCGTCTGTAGAAGCATTCGACCGAGCTTGAGCTGTTGTGAGCTTGTCCAGAGAAATTGTGTACACTAATGTATTTGCTCTGCTTTTATGTGTCGTGCACAATCATTTGAATGCGTCATTTAACTCCATTATGACGTAGCAGCCATTCTTCTGGTTGATTGGTCGCGATGAGGGTTAAGGAGGATGATTTTTGAATGCCTCAGATACGACAGCGTTCTCGCCTAAAAAAGTACATGCCTATTCATAGGACATAAGGATGGTGGCTCATTACAGATTGCTCGTTTGTTCTCTGTATTTCTTAACAACAACCGATGTGATATATGAAGCCAACCTTTGGTTTACAATGCGGTTTCCATTTGCTGTAAACTGTGGCATTGACTTTTTACTTTGTCCAGATAAAGTGGGTGTTATAGAAAATAAAACTCTCAATGATTGTTTCTCGAGCAGTCGGAATTTACTGGATTTTCCTACCACATTACAGCTTTATCGTCTGTCATCTATTTGATCTTTAAGTTTCAATAGCTGTTTAGACGCACGTGTGACAGCTAAGTGTCAGCCTCCAAAATATGCAATAATGTAACAAATTTTAATAAGAAATGTCACTAAATGGTTTCTGAAGCACATCCTACCTCGAGGAAACAGGGAGTAGCAAATATTTTGGGGAAATATTCGATAGATCGCATCTATAAAAATTCTTGCTCTATCTTCGATGTAGCTGTTCTGGTAAAACAAGAACGAAAGAGAAGACAGTTACAGAGGTGGGAGGCAAAGACAACCCTTTGTTTGTGGGGGGGGGGGCAGCCCTGATAATAAATGTAACAACAGCTATATTTCACAAAATAAAAGCATTTTGCTTATGCCAAGCCCCCGGTTATCTTAGCCCTTGACGGTTCAGACGAACACATGCTTTACAACAATAAATAGGTGCATGACGGGAACGGGAATCAGAATTGCCTAAATCAATGCAGTCATCTACTTTATTTGGATACAGCACATCTCATCGATCACCTTTCAAGGCAATAGCCGGTGAAACCATAGAAATACTTTAAGTTTTTTCAGAAAGCGCTTCAACTGTCTGCATGAGATGAACGGTGTTTTCACCACATCCGCTTTATTGGTTCAAAACTTACATACCATATTTTTGTGCATATTGTTTGTACTAGTTCTCCTCTAAAGCTCTTCTTCCAGCTCTCCCTCCAGTTCTCTTTCCAGCTCTCCCTCCAGCTCCTCCTCCACAAGCTCCCCTCTACGGCCCACTCCACAAGCTCCCCTCTACAGGCCCCTCCACAGGCCCCTCCACAAGCTCCCCCTCAAGCGCCTCCTCCAGCTCCCCTTCTAGCCCCTACCAGCTCCCTCCAGTTCCCTCTCCTGACTTATCTCCTAACTCAGTTCCCTCTCCATCAATGTAAATACCTACATAATCTAGTTCAATCGTCCTTTGCAAAGTAAGCCGTTGTTAGGGGGGGGAGGGAGGGAACTTTCTACCGTTGGCTGGATCAACGGACGTTGAGGCTTGAAACCCACAGCTGATTGAAATTAATCAAAACTTGTATTTGCAGGTTAGCTACCTCAATCAGGCCGCATGGTTTAAAATTTTTTGGTTATCAGTTAAAGGGTAGCAAACAATGTCGCCTTTGATTTATGAAACTGGATGAAGAATTGGGATTTTACCAGTAATACAAAATTTTAGTGGCTAACGTCAGAGAACGTATAATAATTTACGTAACTGTTAATTCGTTGCCTTCAACCTCCGTAAACATAGAGTTACTTTAGTAACAAGATCTTCTTAACGTAACTTGCTTTCTTTATTGGCTATTTCTAGCCTAGTGTTTTTCTTAACATTACCGAAATGGTTAGATGAATGACAACATGTGTGGGAAGAAATGAGAGATACCTACGGCTTTCTATCAAGTGTCTTCTATTTTTCAAGAAGCTAGACTAGTAAGTGAATTTCTACTTAAGTTAGCATGGTTGTACAAATATTGTGCACCAACCTGCAGAAAACCTGGGGGAAAAGTTAAAAGAAATCATCCGATAAAACCTTTAAGTAAAGGGTATGATATAAAAGAAATGGGGAGATGCCTCAGCAGTGGAAACCAATCGTGCACAATCAGACGTCTGGTCTCACTGTAAACTAGGGTAGTATATAAGAAATAAAAAGTGGAGAAAATGGAGATAAAATCGTTTTACAAACGGCCTCTGATATGGCCTAGTTTAAGAAGCGAATGTCTTTTGGGAATTTATTGTATCAAGAACGACCTTGAAACTGAAACGACTTTCTTGCAGCTTCTGTTCTGACTTTTGGAAGGCGTAGGGTCAATGCATTTCTATCTGTGCTTTACTTGTGATCAGTTTTCTCAATATATGACGCAAAATCCGATTTCGAAATATTTGGGAGGGGGGAAATTCTGTTTTTTTAAATAAGGTTGTTACGGTAGCTCAAAAGAGCCCTCCGGTAACGTATTATCAGGCCCTAAGATAAATAAAACTGATACATTGTCGCAAATGTCGGGTGTTTTAGGTAGCTGTTTTGTGGTTTCATAGGCAGGGAAAAACTGCACGATTACATTGTTTATAATTCATTAAACAGTTACAATTATGAGAAAAGGTGAACACTTACTGGCATACAAAGTTTCTAGAGAGGGGGGGGGGATCTCAAGCCCTCTAGAAAGTTTATTTTGACAAAATTTTTCGTATGCGCTAGGCTAGTGGTCGTAACTCCAGATTCTTTGCACATCTTTGACTTGTTGTGATTGTCAGGTTGTCTCAATCACTTACGGTGTGATGTTGATCTCAACTGCGTTCCTTTGCAGACGTTTAAACTTTATCGTCATCGTGTCTTGAGATTTTAAGTTAAGGATTTGAAAAGTATAAAATTCTGTAGCTTTGCAGCAAGATTTACAGAACAATAGCTTTGAAGCAAGATTTAGCTGCAAAAACTAACAGTGAATGTCTCATTCTCTTCTTTGTAGGTGGTCATTCGATTCGTGGTTTGTTAGTGATGGATGCAGTGTCACACACCTTGGTACTTATATCCAGAGACGCCGGAATGACCAAGGGGCAAGGGAGACAGGCTCGTGTAAAAGGGCATTTGAAAGATAACTTCCAGCTTTTACTAAGACCCCGTTTAACACTGTGCCGGAAAAAATTTTCCGCTTAAAACTTGTTCGGATTGATCTAAGTTTACACTGTGCCGCACAAATTTTGTCCACTTTGCCCTCCCGCACTTCAGTCACGTGACCTAAATCATGCACAGAACGCCCAAAATGAAGTCTTCTCTGGGCAACAAAATAATAACAAAATTCCAACCAAAAGACTTCATTCTCTCTTCAGAATCATCTGCTTCTCTTTCAGACCAAATCCAAAGATATTTTCAATACAAATTAGGCCTAGTTTGTTTTAATAGTTTGTTCTTGAACCAAAATGACACTGAAGTAGCAAAAAAAGTAGTGAAAGCTGACAAGGATTTTACGGGGACTGGCAAGATACTGCACTTTTAACACGAGTATTTATCGACAACAGGGCAGCCAAGATGGCGAAAGGTCTTGATTGGGAGATGGTGAAAATTAAATTGGATAAAATAGCCAATCGCTTTCGAGCAAGATACGATGTGGATAAAATTTATCCGGATAAAAGCGTTTACACTGTACCACATAGCTATTTGAACTAATTTAATCCACTTTTCTAGGTGAACTAATTTTGTTCGGATAGCCGCTCTCAAATTCGTGCAGATAGCATGGGTCTAGTGTAAATGCGACGCCTATCTGAACTAATTTTGATTAGGATAAAATTTATCCTGCACAGTGTAAATGGGGTCTAATTTCTTCTACAAACTGCCATTTTCTTACGATATTCTGTAGATAGCTTGAAAATTGGCTAACTTTTGACATAAGGGTTTATTTTACATGTTTTGAGAAACGTCGTCGTGAATTAAGCACTAAAATCAGAATTTCATGAGAGTCTCTCTGATTATTATAATTGGCTGGTTTCAAGGGCACTCTTATGAAAAGGGAACTCTGCCCCTCTTGCCCCTCCTATGAAAAGGCAGCAGGGGCGGTTGACCCCCCGCGCCCTTTTCTCCGGCGTCCCTATCTGCTCACAAAGTTAATGCAATGTTCTTTCAATGAAACTTTCAATCTTTTTTCGAGTAGAGTCCTTCTGCAGTTCCAAAGTTCTCTTATGTGACATTCACATATTTTTGTGAAAAAGACATGACTGTAGCATACATTTTCAGAGACCGTGGAAGCGGGGGTAAAAGGGGCTACTGGGGCTTTAGCCTCCGCCAATAATTTCCAAAATGTTCTTAAAACAATGCAAAAATCGACATGCTTTTGTTTTCAGAATTTTTCTAAAAAAATTTTTCGCCCCCTCAATCTGTGAATGCTCAGCGCCCCTTGTTAATGCTCCGCGTACTATTTTAATATATTCTTTGTCAAATCATTTCTATGAGTCAAAAATAGCTAAGGTCCAACAATTGAGCCTTGGGATACACCATATCAGCAATCGAGATTCGGACACTAGACAGTGTCATACTGAGCAAACTGATAACGGTTTGATAAATAGCTTTTTACCCAGTACAGCTCTGTGTCCTTGATGCCATAGAATGGAAGCTTTGATAGGAGTGTTTGACCGTGTCATTATTGTGATAGAATAATGAATCGTACATGGAAGAAAGATTTACACTACAAAAAACTTCAAAGCCCATGAGATGAGTTATCCAGTTAAGGATGATCGAGAATGTTTCCTGTCAGCGAAGATTGCTCTCACTATGTGCAATGTGTTTTATATTATCTAAGTCAAAATAAAAGCTGTACCATTTTTGGCACATACTAATGATTCAGGAAAAAAATTTTGTGCCATTTTTTTTGTTTTGCGCCCCCTCCACCCCCTGTTCAAATCTGCGTCCGGCAGCCCTCATAGGCAATTATTTGAAAAGCTTCGAAGATGCTGGCTGCACTGAAATTGGGCGATAATTTACAACAGAGGCTTTGCTTTTCGATTTAAAGAGTGGAATACCTTTGCAATCATTTTTCTAGGGACTACATATGTTTTAAGTGATAGATCTGTTATAACGGCAAGAGGTTCCTCAATGATAGTTGCGCCGTCCTCAAAAAAACCAGGTGGAAAAATATCTTTACCTTACTCCATGTTTATCATATTTAAGAAATTTTGCAATTGTTACTTTCTTTTTTCTAGAGAAACACAGTAATACGCATTCAGAAGTGCATCTTGGGAGTGCTAGACTTGTAAAGCTATAATAAATAGCAAAGATACATATAATTAGGAGGGATGGC